TGCTGGATGGTGGGAATCTGATGTCTGGAGTCTGACGAACCCAGGAGTAGAGCGCCGACAATCGGCTGGTTGGTGAAGAGCCAAAGACGAGCTGGCTGGCGGGGAGGTGGGGCATCAAAACAGAGGCAGCTCTGACAATGATGCAGGGTCGCATTGTGGCTCCATGTTGCAATGGGCTCCAGGAGGAGGGGACCCCTTCTCCCCCACTGTGAAGCACACTAAATTTCACTGTGCTGCACAAGGCGCTGCGAGAAAAGTTGGGCAGGTCATGGAGGCAGAAACAGCGTATGTACCGCGATGAAGGTGGAATGCTATTTCACGCATTTTTTTAGTCCTGCAAACAACGATGAGAAATGTGATGGGAGTAGGGCTGGGGCAAGGGCGCAAGTGCCCACAGAGAGTGCTACCTCTGGCACATGTGCCATAGATGTGCCACCACTGACCTAGGGTATGGTTTCCCTTTTAACATCTTTAAGCTTTAGAACCTTGTGCAGCTTGTTCTCTAAAGGTGCAGGACAGCTGGATATGAATTACCATATATTGCTGTATGACAAAGAGCTGCGAGAAATTCCAAAGCAAAGGAAAAAATAAGGAGCAAGAAGTGAAAGACATGTTAAAAACATGGTTGACCCAACAAGTCTTTAGAGATAGTAATTCTGATTTGCCTTTATAATTTTGGTTGTTATTGTTATAATGAATGTTATTATGTGGCTTTTATTGTGATGTTTGTGATTGTGATTAATGTTGTCCAGATTCCCAAGATGGTGGGGAGTGTATTCCAGAGGAGGAGGAAATATTTAAATTTTGATAGTTTGTGTCGGAAAAGGAGGGTAATGATTTGTAGAGCATATCTTTTATGATCTAAGAAGTCTGCTTTAGTGTGGCACGATTTCTGTGTACAAGTGAGAATTGCTTAGAGAACCTACCTTTCTTGGTTTTTAGAGCCTGATAATTATGGTTTTGCTGTTTTGTAATTTGTCTAGAAAAGTGCAATTTTGGCAGAAAATACAATAACACTTGATATAATAAAATAAAACAAATAGCTGAGATCATTAGGAACCATGTTCTCTGGAATTACAAAATGGACCCTAGAGGTTCCCATGTACAGCAATCCTGACTGCATGAAGATCAGTGGCAGAAATTTAATTTAAAAAATTCAGAGATGCATAAGGGATTCACCCGAATGTGTTGGAAACAACATTTTATTGTGATTATCTACCTCTACTTAATTAAAGATGTGATGTGTAACCTATCCAGATTTAGCTTAAGATTTACATAAGAACAAACAGTACACTTAGAAGAAATGCTGAATAGATTTAAAAAAATTATGAATCCCAGTGTAAAAAAAAGTTATTTATTTCATCATATTTATATAGTCATTCATCTCCCATAACCTGTAATAACATATCTTAATTATCACATCAAATTAGCTTTCATCAACCATAGTAATAATGAGGAATCCACTATTATAATATCTCCCAAGAGTTAAGCAGATAAAAATGTAACATTTTTGAATTACATTCATGATACTGTAACTTTACTTTTCAGAATAGTGAAGAAGAAACAAAAGGATCTACTGCTTTGGGGTTATTTAAGGTTAATTGAAATGATAGGAATGTTGGATGGAACAGATCATACTGACTTATACTTCATGATCCAAGAGTGGTGAAAACTCTTGGATCTTATTTGCAGGAGATATAAAGCAATTCCTTCTGAAGCACAACACTGAAGAATACTGGGCCTAGGACAGAACCCTGAGGTACTCTGCTGCATAGTTCCCTTCATTTAAATAGAATTCCATTAAGGATCACATGTGAATGCTTTGTTCAGCCAGCTATGAATCTATCAGGTGATGATGCTGTCTGTTCTACATTTTTCTATCTTACCAAGAAGTAGGCTGTGGTCTATTTTGTCAAATGGCTTACTGAAGTCAAAGTATACTATGTCTACAATATTTCCCTCATCTATTAATTTAGTCACTTTGTCAAATAATGTAGTAAGGTTTGTATTTTGAAAACTTCATATTGATTTCTAGTAATAGCTTTGCTTGTTTACAGGTAATCACAGATCCACTATCTTATCTTTTTCAGACTTCCCACTTATTGATGCCAGGCTGTATATCTGTAGTTTCCTGGGTCCATTTTTTCCTTTTTAAAGATTAGAACCACATTAACTTTTTTCCAGGCCTCTGGTAGTTCCCCAGTGCTCTAGGATCTTTGAAAGAAATGGTTTAGTGGTTCTGAGACCACCTCTGTCAGCTATTTCAGAATGCTGAGATACAATCCATCTAGTTCTGGTGATTTGAACTTGTCTAGTAGATATGTGTTTCTAAATCATTTTCTTGTCTCTTTTGACTTGTATTCTTATTCTGTCTTTTACTGTACTACTTTTAATAAATTGGACTATTTTTTAATGTGTAAAGAATGAATTGTACAATTTTGATTTATCCCTACTATTAGTCCCTTGCCATCTTCTCCCATTAGTGAACTGATCATTTTCTTGACTTTTTTCTTACTTTTTAAATGTTGAAAGAATTTTTTTAAAAAAATATTTTTTATATTTGTTGTGAGTCTTAATTTATTTTAAAGCTTAGCTCTCCTGACTTTATCTTTGCAGATTTGGGCTATTTGTTGGTATTCTTTACATTTTTTTAATACTTTTTCTTTTATCTTATTTTTGTTTTACAGAAGAAGAAATTATGTTTAAATGTCTTCAAATTATATCAGGAAAAGTAAATTATAACATGAGTTGTAAATTGCTAAAAACCAAAATATCATTTCAATTGCTTGTAATTTGTGATAATTCTCTGCAACAGACTAAGTAGTTGAAGTTTGAAGATTTTAAAATAAGGATAAAGCAGATTCCATATGCTTCATTAGCAAGATATTAAAATTGGGTTGTATAATACTGCTGTTAAGCAAATTATATTCAAAAAGTACTTTCTGGGCTTGTTAACCGCTGTCTATTTATCTGCATTTTGGGGCTGGTGGTTACATTTAAATTTGAAACATTCATCTTTCTCTTAGTGCTTAGTCTATCTCATTCTATTTCCAGTAATATCCAAAATATGCACAATCTATTTGAAAAGTTCCATAATGCTGCACCCTTGCTAATTATTGTGATGCACCCTGATACATTTACTGTAGATTAATAGAGATTTAGTCATTAAGAGTCTGTCTCTGTTACAAACTATTACAATACTTAAAGAGTGCTCCATTTCATAAGGCAATGTTTGGGATAATTGCCAGAGACATACGCTAAACCAATTATAAAAGAGATATCTATTTTCCACCCAAGACTTCTGATTTTAGGGAAAATAGATTGTAATGCCATTAAATGAATTTGAATGACTGCCATTCCAAATATTTCTAACCAGAAGTGAATATACAGACACAGTCTTTGCAAACTAAATTAAAGTTTGACACTGGCCTATGGAGAAAGTTTACACTCAGTCTTCCTTCAAATGATAGTTGGGTTAATAGCATGCCTGCAGCAGTAATAATCATTAGACAAGAAACTCAAGTCATATGCACCATCATGTCATATACCATCAAGCCACAATACATGCAAGTGAAAATTATTTTTGACCATGTACTGTACTTAGTTTTTTTAATCAATTATAACAGCATGTTATAAGGAAAATATGAATACATATGTGGTATATATTATAGAGTGCATGAATGCATTTTAATTGAGCTCCAGTAATCAAATGAAATTCAACTAAAATTGAACATCCCCAAAGAGGAAACATTTAAACCGAATACAAATGATGCCAAATAAGCTCATGGAAAAGATATAACGTGGTTCGTTCGTTCCTTTGCTCCCACCATTTAAATAGTTATATTTACCAAAAATAGTTCTTTTATATACTTTTGTCCATGAAGCTACATTTCTTTTAGGCATCCTTGAAACAAAAACCAAACTATTTTGTTTACATATATACGCTAACATTTTTAAATTTAACAGCTAGACGGTACTTAACAATAATTTAATACAAATAATTTAAATGCAATGAAAACGAAAATTTAGGCAAATGAGAAACACATACACCCAGATCTCCTATTTTTATGCCGCCCACTTTGTTCTAAAAGAACTTTCTATTTTCTAGAGTTTAAAAAGAACCTTGTTGTTCAATGCACATGGCTCCAGGCAGTACAGTGCCACTGAGAAGTCTTCCACAATAAACAAGGATTATTGATTCATTGTCTTGTTCAAGACCCACATAAGATATTGCTTTTCTGAATAAACCTGTGCAAAGATTATTGATTCATTCCCTGGATCAAGACTCACAAAAGATACTGCTTTTCTAAATACAACTTGGACAAAATTAATTATTTTTAATTTCTGAAGTAGCACAATGTACTGAATCAGTAGACTTTAAGTAGACCTGGAGGATTAATCAAATCAAATCATTATAGCCATTAAGCTAGAAAACCTGAAGGATTGTAAAGCAATAATCCATCCTCTTATGAGCTATATATGTTGAATGACACACTCTTTTGAAATTCCACACTGGATTTGAATGAGATATTTTTCAAACTGAAAGAAGGATAATAAAGAGATGAGAAGCCAATGGAATGTTAGAACATAGAAAAATATAGCTAGAAAGGATTTGGGAGGTCTTTTATTCCAACCCCATTAAGCTGTTTTATTTCAGCCAGACTGCATGAGATTGTTAAACAATATGCAAGAGTATGTACCAAAAGCTGAATCAAATAAAAAAAGCCTATTTATCATTTAATTCCTCAAAAGTCAATATTAACATAATATGACATCCTTTTTTGGTTTCCAAGCAACTGCCATTCAAAATAATACTGCCTCTAATACTAGAGTATTCATTTACAGCCCTTATTCACCATTATTTCAAATTCAATCTGATTTCTAAAATATTAGATTTCTAATTTGTAAGCATATGTTTCAACAACAATAATCATAACACTTTCATAAAATGGAGCACCATATAGTCAGTAAAAATTTATCTGCCATATTACAAGACTTACCTTCTAGAATTTGTGATGTTATGCAAGAAGTCACACAAGCTGATGGTTTCTCAAGTGAATCTGTTGAACCTGGGCTGGCACACTTGGGAATGGTAACAGTTGGGATTGAAGAACCACCCAAATTCAAGGATAGGTCATTCCTGTCGCAAGATAAATTTCGATTTTTCAGCTCCTTTTCATATTCTTCAGCTGCCAATTTTTCCAAGTGTTTATATCTGAAAGTTAAATTCCAAAGGGATTCCGTAAAGGAGAAAAAAACTTCAGCTTATATTTGTTTATAAATGAAGCAGCCATAAAAAATATTACTTCTTAACACATGAAATAGACATCAAAACAGGCTGCTGGATTAATCTTCCAGTATTGGTTGGGTGGATGAAACAAACAAACAAACAATAATAGAATGCTGCTGAGATTTGTTTATATTACCTCCCAAAAGAACTTAAATAAAATAAAACCCAGAAAAATACTTTCAAATTTTCTATCTCCAGTTTTATTAAAGAGAGAGGGTGGGAAAAGCTTACTGCTCAGAGAAGAAAGCTCTAAAGAATGCAACTTATAAAAGTTTGGACTAAAAACTGTCTGAGTGTCTGTCTGAACCTGCTACTATTTGTTCTAAGAACAGAACACTGGAATCACTTTGTTCTACAATGGAAACATTTAAAAACATTAAAAGATGTTTAATGCCAGAACTCAAGATATCCAATAACTTGGATATGATGTCACATATAGTTTATTCATAAAAGTCAATTGAAAAGAACAAAGATACATCTGTTTTGCATTTTAGACAGGCAAGATTCACTAACTATTTATTAAGACCAGTTACCAATCATGTTATTTTATATGTTGTGACCAAAATTATTTGGAAATTGGACCTCTTCCAGATGTCTACTAATGTATCAAATTATTTGAACATGGTTTCTATATATGAATACATATATGAAAGTAAATTGCTGATTTTATGTTACTCAGTCATCAACTTCTAAAACAGCCCAATCAAAATTTAATTGTAGATAAAACTGAATGGTAGATAAAAAGTTTTACAGTTAGGTAAGAAAAACCAGCTGTACAGGTACCGAGTAGGTGAAACTTAGGTTAATACCAGTAATTATGAGAGGGATCTTGGAGTTCAAGTTACTAAAATATGAGCCAATAATATACATTAGCAGCCAAAAAAGCCAATGCAATCTTAGGCTACATTAATAGAGGGATAGAATTAAGATCACATGAAGTATTAGTACCACTTTACAAAGCCTTAGTATGGCCACACTTGGAATAGTGCATCCAGTTTTAGGCACCACAATAAAAAAGATGTTGAAACTTTGGAAAGAGTGCAGAGAAGAACAACAAAGATGATTAGGGATCTGGAGGCTAAAACATATGTTGCAGGAATTGTGTATGCCTAATCTAGTGAAAGCAATATCCCAACATTTGAGGGGCTGTCTCAAAGATGAAGGGGTCAAAATATTTTCCAAGGCAGCTGAAAGCAAGGCAAGAAGCAATGGCTGAAAACTAATCTAGAGAGAAGCAACCTAGAACTAAGAATAAATTTAAACTAAGGATAATAATCAAAGATTATTCCAATAATTCCAGGAATGAAGATATTTGACATGTCTATCCTTGCTGAGGGACTGAGTCAAAAGCTGGGAAGCCCTAGCAACAGAGGAGTGTCCTAATAGCTTTGACAGTTCAATCAGCGAACAACGAGGTCAACCCCTTCCTGAATGCTATCTCCACCACAATGGAGAAGCAACCTAGAACTAAGGATAAATTTCCTAAAGGTGAGGACAATCAACCAGTGAAATGGCTGGCATTCAGAAGTTGTAGGGGGCCCAACATGGAGGATTTCAGGAAGAGACTGGACAGCCATTTATTTGAAATGGTACAGGGTCTCCTGTTCGAGAAGGGGGTTGCATCAGATGACTTCCAAAGTCCTTTCCATCTATGTTATTCTATTTCTATTCCCTTCCCTTCCAAATTAATTTCCCACATGCCAAATAATAAGTATGACTTCCAATGTCTCATTGCTATAAACCTGTCAAACTAATATGCAATTGGCAAGATAAAGACATTTTTCTCTGCAATAACAGTATTTTCTAAAATTTTGATAATTAATGGATCTTTCCCCTCCAAATTAAAATTAGAAACCTCTAAAATTAGATGGCTCTTCACTTTTAACTCTGAAAGAGCTTAACTTTGTAAACTGCAGTTTTCTCACAAGAGCCTATGCTGGGTTTTTTTGTCACAATGTCATTTTCCAAGTCAGTATAAGCAAATTGTGCAAAGCTGCAATGGAAAGGTTCTTCTAGTAGAAGTGAGAAGTGAGAGAATAAAAGTGAGAAGTGAGAGAATAAAAAGGGAAATGTACTTGCACTAGTACATTTATCCTTGACAGGGATTGAAGACGAATGAATCCTACATACACATATCATGCAGATCATCTGTTAGATGATTCATGGCTCATAAAGCATTCTTTAGTTTAAAATTAAATAAAATTCAGAAACTATAGTGCTATACTCTCATTCGCAGAACCACTAAACCCCTAGAGTCCATTACGTAATTCCAGAGAAAAAATATGGTTCCTAATGGCCTCAGTATTTGTCTCAATCTTAAGCAACAAGGACACACAACAGATCTACAATAGCTTTGGCAAAGAAAGGTTCTCTATGAAAAAAAGTATACAAAATTAAAATCCAACTGCAAATTGGACAGGTCTATCATTGAAAAATAATAACAATTTAATTTTGTAATAATTAAAATGAGATAAAAATTAAAATGAGATGTGCTACCATCATAGAGTGAATCAAAAGAAGTTTACAAGTTATATAACCTTGTCCATTTGCCTGTCAATAGTAGGAATACTAATCCAATTTGAAAATCTCCAAATAGAAAGTGTACACTGCTATTCAAGGCAACTGAATTTCACTCTTAACCACTTTTCCATTAGAAGCCTCCTCCTAAGCTAAGTTTGAATCAGAGTTAATTTCAGTTAGTTGGTCCTTCTGCTCTTGGCTTTAACAGAAAATAATCTTCTCATGGTCATTATATCTTTTTAGATATTAGGCTAATAAACTTATTTACAAACTACATGTCTTGATCTTTTAACTGTTTCACACAGTTTTTCTTTGACCCAATTCCAGGTTCTCCGTGTCCTTATTCTTGTGCTTAGAAATAGAAATAATAATTCCAAATCCAAAGATATCTGACCTATCTTTCTCAAAGGATAGATGAAAGCTAGGATCTTACTTTGTAACATATCAGTTTCTCATTTAAAACTAAAAGAATGTGAATCAAATAGTATGGAAGCTATGGAATGTGGGCAGATGTACAAGTGGGTGGTGATTGAAAAAGTGATGGGACAGGAGCAATTTTCTACCTCCTGCTACCCCATTGACTTTGCAATCACATGACTGTGGAATGCTGGAACCATAATTGTGAGTCAGTTTGCCAAGTGCCAGAAGTGTAACCATGTGACTGTTGGGATGTCCACAACCTTGCAGATCAGTTTTAAATCCCTCTTGTTCAGCATCATCATCACTTTCAATTAGAGATGTCAGAGAGCTACCTGTAGGTTAATATCTCTGTATCAGAAACTGGAATTAAGTTACTGTCTTCAATATAAATTTAACTCATTAGTTTCTTTGTGCTTGAATATTGCACATAATCTCTTCTGACAATGTTGTTTCAGTGATACTATCCCCCCCCCCCCCAAGACATTAATACTTTCGGTATGGAAGCCAAAACAAGCTAGAGCTTCTTTGCTGCAGAAACTTGTAGTACTTGCTGAAAACATGAATGATTGAGTAAAAAAGATTTCAGTATAACTATGTTCATTTTAGTACCTAATAACTAAATCACTAATTACTAAATATGGGAAATCTGTGATAGGGTCTTCTAAAATTTATCCTGTTTTCCTTTCCCTAATCTAGAGCAGTGTTGGAGCATGGCCTGCATGTTTTTCCCTAGATTGAGGATATGGACACTAGGTGTACTGCTCCACCTAGAGTATCTATGCTTTAGCACATCTAAAAGCTAAGGTATACTGATTGTTCAGTTTCACTTCCTGCAAAAAAAAAAGAGAAAAATGATCCAGGAAACTATAGTCAAGTCAACCTCATATCATGACTTTATAGAGATTATATCCATAGGCACTTTAAAAACAAATCAGAATGTTCTAGTGCTATAGATTTTAAGAGAGCTGACTTCAACAAAGGGTATAGAAAGGATTCAATGGATGGACCTTCTAGAGAAAAACAATCCCTTGGATGCTTGGGAAGCTCTGAAAAACAAGATATTAAAGGCCAAACAAAAACAATATTCTTGAGAAAGAAAAACAAGATACACCTTGCAAAACTAGAATAGTTGCAAAAGATCTTTCTCATAAGGGATAAAAATGATGATAATAAAAAATGAAAAACATAGCAGAGCTAAAGGTCAGAATCAGCTAAGGCTTGAAATGCTAAAAATAGCACAAAAAAAAAGGTTTATTTTGATGTAAATATGAAGAAGATGTTGGTCCACTAGTAGGAGAAAAGGGTTATGGATAGCAGGCAGAAGTAGAACTGCTTAATTTCTTTTTTGTATTTATCTTTACATAAAAGGAAAAATACTCCAACCTGGCAAAAGCAGCAAACTATGGGAGATGAAAGAGAAATACAGGTCAAAATAGGTAAGGAGTTGGTTAGACAATATCTAGCTGCTCTAAGTGAATTTACACCTCCTTTTCTGGATGATTTACACCCTTGGGAACTGCAGGAAATGTCAGATGTGCTCTCAGAGCCATTGAATAAAATCTTTGTAAGATCATGGAATCCCTTTTTTTGTATACACAAGTCAAATGGGAAGATGCTGAAGACATTACCATGGATAGGATTCATTGAAAGAAACTTATTATTTTATGTGAGTCATGCAAAAGGAACCAATAATGATGATGATAATAATATAATAATCCTGACCCAGATTGAACAATATCTGGGATCAGAAGACAAAAATAAAAATGACAATACAACAAGCTTTGCACACAAAAAGTGGTATTAATCAGCTGAGTTTGCTAAGAACTGAAAGGCACTTCTACAGGTGAAAGCAAACTGGGAAGGAAGAATTTACAAATAACACACTTGGAAGATATCTTGGAGGTCTTCTAGTCCAACCTTCTATTCAAGCAGGAGTTCCTATATCATTTCAGACAAATGGTTGTCCAGTCTCTTTTTAAAAGGCCCCAGTGATGGAACACTCACAACTTTTGAAGCCAAGCCATTCCACTGGTTAATTGTTTTCACTGTCAGGAAATTTCTCATTAGTTCTAGGTTGCTTCTCTCCTTGATTAGTTTCTAATCATTGCTTCTTGTCTCACATTATGGTGCTTTGGGAAATAAAAAAACTCTCTTCTTTATGACAGCCCCTCAAATATTGGAACAATGCTATCATGTCTTCTCTAGTCCTTCTTTTGACTATACTAAACATACTCAATTCCTGCAACAATTTTTCTTATGTTTTAGTCTCCAACTCCCTAATCATCTTTCTTGTTCTTCTTTAAACTTTTTCCAAAGTTTCAACATCTTTTTTATTGTGGTGACCAAAACTGGATGTAGGATTCTAAGTGTGGCCATACTAAGGCTTTGTAAAGTGGTACTAATACTTCATGTGATCTTGATTACCTATATTAATGCAAACTCTCTCTTTCCAACAGCTTGAAACTGTTTTTATTCTTAAATGTTATCTTAATAAGCTCTTGCTTAGAACGTGAATTACTAAATTTCCACTAGCCTTAGATTTTCAATCTAATTGTAGGTTACCCATAAATAATAATGACTGTGGGGGAAAAAACCCAACTCCCCAAAAAAATTCAATTGTGATGGTATCATGAGTGAAATTCCCACACATCTGGAGCACTATTTGAACACCATGAACAACCTTCAGTCAAATGAAAAAGGCAGTTTTATTTGAAACAGTTACATCCAGCAACAATACATTTAATGTGATTAAACAACATCTGCCTTTCTTAAGTCCTTGGGAATAGGTGGATAAGAATGCAAAATCTAGTCTAAGTAACTGGCTGACTGAATTCAACTATAATAATGGCATTTTTTTTTAAAAAGTGACCCAATTCACTTTGAAAGTTGACTACTTTGGGAATATGGCCCTTAACACTGTATTCAATGGTTCTTGAACTGATGAAAGTTGGTCACCCATGGTTGAGAAGATAAACGAAAAGACATTTTTAGAGGCAACACTGCATTACTTGCACTGCATTACTTGTACAACAAAATACAGCAATGATGGTGAACAGATACTAAGAAAACAGCTAGTTCATGTATTTCAGTAATTACATTTTTGATTTTTGTGTATATAACAATTTTCTATGCATGTCTGTATTATGTCCTTTTTTGTTAGTAAGAAGTGTGTTTATAGAATCATGCACCTCTTAATAGTGGACATAAGAAATACAAAGCAGCCAAAAGCAGGAGCTAAGTACAAACCTCTCTTCTCTTGCTTGTCTCAGTTCTTCTCTTTTATCTAGATAATTTTGACTAAAAAAAAAAGATATTCACAAAGTTACAGGTAAAAAAGATCAACAAAGAAAAATCAGTTAAGCAAGAAACAAAGGAAGAGAAAATGAACCAAAAGCAGCTAAATCTTTGGTAATTTTCTACAAGAAAATATAGCATGATTTGAGTCCACCCCTTTATTTAGCTACTGTGTTTTCTTCCAATGATTTGGTCATTAATGAAATGGCTGTTAAGTAAACAGTGGCTGAGAGAAACAGAAATGCTGATAAGATAATTGGTTGCTGCCCTCTCATTTGGATCAAATTCTTGTTACAGTGTCCTGTGCTGAACTTATTTTATCCTTTTTTGGTCCCCTCACAGGGTAAAAACATTGCTTAACATTGCCGCCATTCCTAAAACATGCTAACCATAAGTTAACAAGCTTAGTTCTGTGACTTTAATTAATTAATTAAAACCCTTTGGCCTGTTCCACCTGCTGCCTAAATTTTAAGAAGCTTAATCAGATTAACAGTGAAGGCTTTTGTTGTCCTAAATGCATACATTGGTTGGAAAATTTTGTATTACTGTTAACTACTATTTTATATGTGAATATTCCAAACTGAGATAGATGCTAAATGAAATGTGCCTGCAAAAGTGAGTTAAATTGAAGCCTTTAGAAACAAAGTCTCTTAAACTTTCCGTGGAAGCTAAAGATTCTTCTTTTCTAGTATAACTTTGTATGAATACTAACATAAAATAATATAAAGTAATCTGCCACCTACGATGTGATTCCTATTTCAATTTAGTTATTTGTGAAGGCAGGAAAAAAAACCCAGTTTATAATTATACCACACAATCAAATATGAAATCAGGTAGCCATGCCATGCCCTGAAGGAGTGGTTTGCTTTGGTGAAAATTAGAATGAAGCATCCCTTGGAATTGCTTTGTAGAATGACATGATTCCATTGATTCTAAAAGAGGAGCATAGTGACTATATTTATTTTATCTCACTGGTTCAGAGCCCTTCTTTGCATGCTCCTGGAGAAGACTAAAGCTCCATGGCACTGTGAACCAAAAATGACCAGCCTGAAATTCACTTGCACATAGAAGATCTTCTAGCTTGGGTGGTTATGGGGAATGCGGGAAGAGAAATGAGTTGTTTCATTTTCTTGCTGAAAACTGGAATAATTCTTTTAAAAAACATGTTCTCTTTTCAAGTGTTCAAAGAAGGGGTTTAAGAGCTTGTTAAAGCATACAATTCAAAATTAAGTTTAAAATCACAGTGAATGTTGATCTTCAACGTGAAGTAACCCACAGCTTTTCTTGTGAAAAGCATCTGGAGTTATTCATATTTTATTATATCAATTTTTATATCAGCATGTTAAAAACAGCTGATTATATATCTTCAAACTTATTGAATATTTCTCTAATAAGAGAAACCTTTTACCCAAAGAATTAGATTTACTTCCCCACTGAGAAGGACAAAATTTAGATATATCGGATTTTTTGGAGTATAAGATGCAGCAGAGTATAAGGTGCACCAAGGTTTTGAAGAGGTAAATTAAAAAAAAAGTTTTTGCCCTCCTCGTCCCCCAGGAACACTCTGCAGGGCTCCCAAACCCTCTGCACATCCCATTTATTTTGTGAAAAACAAGGCATGCAGAAAGTATGGTAGGCCTGCAAAGTGCTTCTGGGGACAGGGGAGGGCAAAAACACAATGTGTGGGGGCTCACTCTTCCTAAAGGGTAAGGCTTTTATTGATATCAAATCCGCTTTTCTCTATCCCTTCCATGGCAGGGCAGGACTAAACATATATCTCTGTGCTTTATTTTTTTCCCCCTTCCCTCTGACCAGCGATCACGTAGAGCCCCTTGGCCCAAGGAGCAGTCGGCTCGCTTCTTCTCTTCAGCGAGGAGGGAAAGATATGTGGAGGCTGCTGAACTGTTACCTCTGCACTTGACCAGGAACGGTCCATTGGGCGAGGAGGGGTGGGGATCCCTTCCATTTGGATTAATGGTTCCTCATGGTGGCATCTAAGTGGCAAAAGGGAAGCCCAAAGAAGATGACCCGGCAAGGCTGCCTCCTTGAACAACCGGGCTTGTTCACAGCCCTTTGTAACCCTGCTTCGTTAGTCTCGAGGCAAAAGTAGGTGCCAGGCTCCAGGGAGACTCCCAACCCAATGCTCCCGCATTCTGAAATTTCCTTTGCATCCCACACTTCTTCCACTAGCCAAGATCCAGATGATGCCAATAGCTTTTTCCAGAGAGAAGTGGAGCTCTAGCATTCTGAGAAAAGCCTTCATGGAGAGGAGATCATTCCTCTTCCCTTCCTGCACTATCACCCCAATCCCCCCGGATCTGTCATGTAATGCTTACTGCAATTGTTGCTATTGCGCCCAGCTACCGTATCTCTTTGCTGCATGATAGATCTGGGCAGACTGGGGGTGGTGGAGGAGGAAGGGAAGAGTCTCCTCTCCATAAAGGCTTTTCTCAGGACGCTAGATAGGGAAGTTAAAAATTGATGGGTAAGGGTGGAGGAAGAGAAGAGGAAGGGTCTCCTCTCCATGAAGGCTTTTCTCAGGATGCTAGGTTGGGAAGTAAAAAACCTGGAATGGGATACAATCAAGTTTGATTCATAAGCGTTGGCTCCTGAGATTGCTTTGCTGCCACCCAAAAACATTGTTACCGCAATTTCTGCTGCCTGGAATTGCCCGAGAAGGGACAGGTGAAGTGGGCTCTGCAGAGATCGCAGTAATGGCTTATTTTTGGGTGTCAACACAGCGATCTCATGAGCCAAAGCCTTTGAATCAAGCTTGTTTGTATCCCATTCCAGATTTTTGACTTCCCAATCTAGCATCCTGAGAAAACTAGCATCTCTGAGGCACCTCTTCTTTGCAGGAGGAGGAGGAGGGCGGCATATACAAAAGTCTTTGAATAACTGGGAAAGAAAGCCGCACTTTTCAGGTGATGGTTTTTGTCAGGTTCCAAGCGCGGCTCTCGATACGCCAACTGCGCCCTCCTCGTCGGGCAGCTCAGGGGAGACAATGGCCCTGATGACTTCATTCCCCAGCAATGTGAGTAGCCGCCACCGCCTAAGCCTTCCCGGGAGTCAAGCCGAGCGGCAGCGCAGAAAGCAAAATGTCTCCTTTCCAGGGCCTGCTTCACCTGCTCCTTCTTGGGCAGTTCCAGGCGGCAGACATCATGGTAACAGTGTTTTCAGGTGGCAGTGCAGCAATCTCATCCGCCTGGAACTACCTGAGAAGGGGCAGGTGAAGAGGGTGCTGTGTGAGAGGGATAAGGCATTCTGCTACTCGGTCCCTCTCCCCTTCTCTAGACAACCCAGGTGGAAGATGGTTGGCTTCTGCTTGAGTAAATGTCTAGTTCTCCCACACATATCTCATGTGCCCTGTCTGGCAATAAAATTTAATCTTGAGTTTTTATGGCATAGTTCCCAGTTTTCTTAGACTTAAAAATACAAATCAATGTGGAGGTATTAACAGGTAGCAAATATTTTTAAATTTTATCAAATTTATTAAGGTAATGAACGATTAAAGAATTATTGCTTACTTGAATTTGTTTCTCTCTTCACGTTCTATTCTTTGAAGCCTCTCCTCTCTCTCTTGACGTCTTCGTTCTCTTTCTACTGCCAAGGACTCTTGGTGTTGCCTATATGATGATGTAAGGAGACCACCCAAAGATGTCCTATAGGAGAAGTAGAAATATTCATTGTTTTAAAATAAACTATCACCTTCATTATATTTTCCTAATTAAAGAAATTTTGTTAATTAAATCATGTATACTATATATATATATATATTATATATATTTGAGCAATTGTGGTCCAGTGGTTAGAATGCAGTACTGCAGGCTAGTTCTTCTGCCTGCTGGCTGCCAGCAGTTCGATTCTCACTGGTTCAAAGTTTTTTTTTACTGAGATCAATAAAATAAGGACCCAGATTGTTGGGGGCAATATGCTGACTAGGCAAACTGCTTAGAGAGGGCTATAAAGCACTATGAAGCGGTATATATGAAGTATTATTGCTGAGAGCAGTGCAGAGGACCAACTGAGCAATAGTGCCCACAGCAGTAGCTGAGAGCAACACAGTGGATCAGCAGCAGCACAGAGGACCAACTGAGAGCAGTGTCCACAGGAGCAGGTGAGAGCAATGCGTTAGCCCAGCAACAGCTGAGAGCAGTGTGGTGGACCAGCTAAGCAAAGTGCCCACATTGGCACATCATGCCTAAAAACTCTGGCCAGGCAAGCAAAAAAGCAGAAAAAAGAGGATAAGCACACACTTGTAGATAGGAAAGAAAGGAATAAATTTTCAAGGCAGGCAGGAGAGGATTAAGAGCAGGGCATTTCCTAGGAAACTGCCTGACATTTCCAACAAAAAAGAAGTGCATACTACTTCAAAATGGGTCAAAAATGCTTGTAAATTTTTAAATTTGTAAACATATAAATTCCTTTTTAAAAAAAACCCTTTTTCAAATTTTTTAATTTCTTTTTTCACTTTTTATTTTTTTTTCATTTTTTTCAACTCTTAAATATTTTAAAATCTTTTTTCAATTTTCAATTTCATTTTCAATTTTTTTAAAAAAATCTTCTTTTTAATTTTTTTCCAGTTTTTTAAAAAAATCAATTAAAATGGTTTACTTATTTTACTTTTTTAGAATTTTTAAATTCTTAACAAGCTAAGAGAAAAAATAATAAACCATGGAGAAAGAGGCAGACATTTCAAAATAGGGAAGATAATGGTGAATTTTTTAATACAGAGAACAAAAGGTCAAGAACTCTTGTAAACTATTGTAAACTGACACTTTGCAATAGGAAAAATATTTAATTACAAGAATTTTTAAAATTATTTAACAAACAATCAAGAAAAATGTCATTGAAATAGAGACTGACTTGCAAAGTGTGTCATATGTTTCAGCTTATGCACACAGAAGACCTAAAGTATGTATGTATCAAATGTAAACTACCATAGTTTTCAGAGTATAAGATGCACTTTCCCCCCCAAAAAGGGTGAAAATCTGGGTGTGTCTTATACACTGAATACAGCATTTTTGGCCTCCCAAAACCCACACTGCACGGTTCCACCACAAAACCGCGTTCGACTAAAGCGCGCTCGACGAAACCGCGTAGCTGACGTCATCACAGGGCGACAACAGCGCGGAGACAGAAGCACACTGTAAACGCTAAACCTAAAATTAACACCTAAACCTAAACCTAACCCCCCTAAACCTAATCCTAAACCTAACCCTTAACCTAACCCTAAACCTAACCCTAAACCTAACCCTAACTCTAAACCTAACCCTTACCTTAAGTTGAATCGGTTTGCTTTCAAAGTGCTATTTAAAGCGCCCTTCTTTCTCCGCGCTCGCTGTTGTCGCCCTGTTGATGACGTCAGCGACGCGGTTTAATCAGGCGCGCTTTAGTCAAGCGCGGTTTTGTCGTGCCACGACACTGCACATCCCATTTTTCACAATAATGGATGTGCAGAAGGTTTGGGTGTCATGCAAAGTGCTCATGGGGTCTAGGGAGTGAAAAAGTGGCCCATTTTTCACAAAAATGGGAGTTTTTGCCCTCCCAAGCCCCCAGGACCACTCTATAGGCCTCCCACACATGAAAAATGATGCGTGCAGAGGGGTTGGGAGGCCTGCAGAGTTCTCCTGGGGGGGGGCGGAGAGGGCAATTTTTTTTTTTTTAAAAAAAAAACCACTTCAAAATCTGGGTGCGTCTTATACTCTGCTGCATCTTATAGTCCAAAAATACAATACTTGAATTACTAGAAGAAAAAGTAAAAGGTTTAGAGGCAACTCTAGTCATTCGGAAACTCCATGAAGAAAGTAAGAAATCCCAACCTAAACAAGACTACCAAAATAAACAATAGGGAGCAAACAGCTTATAAAAAAATGACCTCATATATGAACATACAATGATACATCCAAATTTAATACAATAGGGAACAAACAGCTTCCATAACAAATGACCCTACATATGTACCTAAAGAGCAAGACTGATGGAAACATGTCATTTTTAGAAGAAAACAACAACTAATAGCAAAGACCTTATCTACCCTAGCCATTCCAATGAAGCCCCTCTGGAATTGAACAATTGCTTTCATAGCCTCCCCCTGGAAGAAAATATGCAGATATTCGCAACAGAGTAATCACCAATATTTTCTAAAAAAGAAACATAAAATAATTCTAAAAAAGAGGCATAAATAAAAAATATATAATTGCATTATATATAAAGGATCACCACATCTCTACAGAAATACACAAAATCAAGGATAAAAAAACTCTTAGAATCCATATGGATAAAAAGGGGAAAATGACATTGCTTATAGGGGTATACTACAGGCCACCCAACCAAACAGCAGAAATAGATGAACTCTGCTAATAAACAAATGTATGTAGGAAACATACCACAGTAGTAATGGGAGACTTTAAGCAACATGATATCAACTGGGAGACAAACTCTGCAGCAAGTGTAAGATTGAACAGATTCCTAAGCAATGAAGCTGACAATTTTGTCATCTAAAAGATAGAGGAGGGAACTAGTGGAAAAGCTATGTTGGACCTAACACTTACTAATAGAAAAAAAGTAATAGAAGAAGATGAAGTTCCTGGAACCTTGGGTGAGAGTGATCATGTAATATTGGAATTCAATATAATGCAGACACAATATATGCAAACATAAGCAATAGAATATAATCTAACCAGTGTTTTAAACTTTAAAAGAGCTGATTTTAACAAACTCAGAGAAAGCCTAAAAATTTTATGGATAAAAATCCTAAAGAGAAAAACAACTCAAGAAGCATGGCAAACACTGTAAAATATGATCATAAAAGCCCAGTCCACCACAATACCACCGAAAAAAGAAAAACAAGAAATCCAAGAAGAAACCAGCATGATTGCACAAAGATCTCTTATAAACTGCAAGACAAAAAAGGATAAGTACAAAAAATGGGAAGAGAGATACATAACTAAGACATAATATCTGCAGATAGCCCGAATCTGTAAAGATGAAGTGAGAAAAGCAAAAGCTCAGAATGAACAAAGACTTGCAACAAAAGTCAGAGATAATAAAAAGTTTCTTCCAACATATAAATAACAAGAAAAAAGTAAAAAATAAAAAGAGAAGATGGCAAGGAAGAAACAGGCAGTAGAAAGCAGAGCTGCTTAACTCATTCTTTGAAAGTAAAAAGAAACTATAGCCCAATCTACCAAAATCATAACTATAAAAGACATACTAGAAATAAAAATTAAAATATGTAAGAAAATGGTAAGAGAACACCAATCTGACCTTGGTGAATATAAATCACCAGGACCTGATGGATTACATCTCAAAGTTTCTGAAGATGTTGCACTTGTTATCTCAGAACCATTGTACCAATCTTTAAAAAGTTCTGGAGCACTGGGGAACTACCAGAGGATTGCAAAAGAGCTGATATGGTTCCCATCTTCAAAAAAGGAAGGGGAAAAAAGCAGACTTAGGAAACTACAGAACAATCAGCTTAACATCAATATCTGGGAAGATACTGGAAAAAATTAAAAGAATAGATCTGTGATCATCTAGAAACAAATACTTATAACTAGTAGCCAGCACAGGTTCGTTAAAAACAGATCATGCCAAACCAATCTTATTTCATTCTTTGACAAAGTGACTAAATTAGTAGACCAGCAAAATGCTGTGGACAAGTATACTTAGACTTCAACAAGGCATTCAACAAAGTAGACCACTACCTACCGATACTTCTTGGTAAGCTAGAAAAATGTGGAATAGCAATAGCAATATAGCAATAGCAGTAGACTTATATACCGCTTCATAGGGCTTTCAGCCCTCTCTAAGCGGTTTACAGAGAGTCAGCATATTGCCCCCAACAATCTGGGTCCTCATTTTACCCACCTCGGAAGGATGGAAGGCTGAGTCAACCCTGAGCCGGTGAGATTTGAACCGCTGAACTGCTGATCTAGCAGTAGCCTGCAGTGCTGCATTTAACTACTGCACCACCTTGGCTCTAGACAGCTTCACCACCAGATGGATTTGTAACTGGCTGGCAAACTGTCCTCAATGAGTAGTCCTTAACGATACTATATCTAAATGGAGGAAAGTAAGTACTGTAGTAGGGTACTGCAAGGTTCCATCTTAGATCCAGTACCCTTCAATATCTCCCTAAATGACCATAAATGAGGGAACAGAATGGAAACTCATCAAACTCACTAAGCGGGCAACAATAGCCAACACCCCAGAAGTCAAGCTCAGGATTCAAAAAGATCTTGACAGACTTGAACAATGGGTCTACCCAACATAAAAATCTAAGGTAAAGAAAAGCAAGATTTTACACCTAGGCAAAAAAACCAAAGGTACAAATACAGATTATGCAAAACCTGGCTCAAAAACCTGGCTCAAAAATAGTAACTGTGAGAGGGACATTGAAGTCCACTTAAACTAGAGTTATCAGTGTGCAAAAGTAGCAAAAAAAAAAAAAGCTAATATAATTCTTGGTTGTATAAACAGAGGCATAGAATCAAAATTACATGAAGTATTAGTACCACTTTAAAAAGCCTTAATAAAACATCTGGAATACTGTATCCAATTTTGGTCTCATTACAAAAAAAGATGTTGAGATTTTGGAAAAAGTGCAAAGAAGAGCAACTAAAATGATTAAGGGGCTGGAGAGAAAATTTATAAAGAATGATTGGAGGAATTGGGTATGGCAAGACTAGAGAAAAGAAGGACTAGGAGTGACATGATAGCAGTATTTCAGTGTCACAAAGAAGGGGTCAACTTATTTTCCGAAGTACCAGAAGACAAAAAAACAAAAAAAAACACAACAACAATGGATAGAAACTAATCAAGGAGAAAAGCAATCTGGAATTAAGAAGAAACTTCCTAACTAGGGGAACAGCTGGTCTCCAGTAATTGTAGCAGCTTCATCATTGGAGGTTTTTAAGAAAAGACTAGACAGCCAGCTATCTGAAATGGTATAGGGTAGTGATGGCGAATCTTTTTGGCACCAAGTGGCCAAACCGGAACGCACATCCATGCATGCACCAGATGTTGGAAAACTGAAGACCAGCTGGCCAGGGCATACATGCCTGTTTTTTGGCCGTTTTCAGGATGTTTTTTGGACATTTTTCAGCTGTTTTCAGGCCATTTTCTGCACTCTGGTGCCTGCGAAGACCAACTGGGCGGTGCGCATGTGCACATTGGAAACTAGAAGAGCACCTGGCAACAGAGAGGTTCACCACCATGGGTATAGGGTCCCCATGATGCCCACAGAAAGGTTCACCATTATGGGTATAGGGTCTAGAAGAGCTCCAAGGGTTCTTCCAGCTCTATTCTCATCTGAGAAATAGAAACATTCATTGTTTTAAAATAAACTATCACCTTCACTATATTTTTCTAGTTAAATAAATTTTGTTAATTAAATCATAAATACCGCAGACTAATCTTTCATTAATTATTGTTGTTAATGTTGTTTCCTTTTTTATTTATAAAATACAATCATTTCCTAGCTCTTACTAAAATATGAATGAGCAATTGTATATCCTCTGATTGGATTTTAGATTTTAAATAAGAATTTTGACGTATGTAAATTAAGAAAAAGAATTTATTCAATACTTTTGCTAAGTCATTACACATTATTTCACTAATTTAGTAGAGAATTAATGTTCCTATTTCTTTAATATTCATTCCATGTGAATAATGACATTTTAAATTGTATTTCCAATTGTATCAATTGCATTGCAGCACTGGTCCAAAGGGCCCAGCAGAGATTACACTACCCGAGACTTCTCAGGAAACAACAACTGAATAAAAAATTGCTGATGACCTTCTACCACTGCACCATAGAGTGTGTTTTAACTTACTGCACCTGTGTATGGTTTGCTAATTGCATAGTGGCAGATAGGACAGCGCATCAGAGGGTTAACATCATTGCCCAGAGGATCATTGATTGCCCTCTCCCCTCATTGGAAGAGCTTTATAGCTCCCGCTGCCTTAAGAGAGTTCAAAACATTCCTAAAGATCCATCTCATCCTGGGCACTCTGTTTTTGAACTATTACCATCTGGCAAGGACAAATAGGCTGAAAAACAGCTTCTATCCTAGAGCAGTACCTATACTTAATTATACTATATAGTGTAATATTAATGCAGTATCAGAGGTTTTCAATTCAATTGTATAGAATGTGCAGGATGTATGTTTTTGTTTTATTTTTACAGTTTTCCTATGTATGATGTACACTGAAGATGGCATTTAATTTTGTTGTACAAGGTGCAATGACAATAAAATAAACTGAAACTGAAATTTCTTGTATGAAGCAGTATATAAGTCTAAGTACTTTTGCTACGGGCCAGGATTTGATGGAAGTTATCAATTATCTGGTGCCTAAGACTTAAAAGCATATCTTCAATCATCTATATTATCATTATTGTTTTAAGACACTTGCAAATAATGATGATATTGAGAGGAAAGACTGGCACTTTCCATCAGAAGTCAAATATTATTATGCAGAGTAAGTTAACATATAACAAGAAAGATACTTTTGAGCAAACATATGTAAAGATATTCTACTTTATAGTTAAAGGTGCATTATTTTGAGTGCTAACATATTCATTCAAGCATTATCAATTGGGAATTCAATAGGGTAATACCTTCCTTGGCCAAATACCAGAATGAATGAAAATGTACATGTTCAGGAATCACTTTGTTTTTATCTGCTATCCATTTACAGTGGTGTTTTCAAATGTTTGTGAGTCCTTTTAAATTTTCAACGTTTTTACCCAAATGTGATCTGATATATGCTTATGGAGATTCTTAGTCATTCATAGTTGTCTCAAAGATGCTTTTTCAAAAGGCAACTATTTTTTTTGAAGATGACCTTTCACTTCTCATCCAAGCTTCATCAGGTGTAACTGGATGATGGGGGATGGAAGCATAGGTTCTGACAATTATGATTGGGTGGGGAGGGGGGAATGGAAGGATTGTATTTCTTTATAGTTATCTGGTATTAGCACTCTTTCTGAGAGCCATTGAGTGCAGCTTCCTACAAGCAAAGGCAATGAGGAAGCTGGCAGAAAGTCAGAAGTCACTTCCGCTCCCACTGCTTTTTAGCCAGCTCTTGGCAATTCTATTTATCTGTTTAAATAAATAAATCTTGGATTATTATTTCAGTTTGCCACTACTATAACCAAATATAATGATTTTTCTATTTATATACTCTTTTAGATAATCATGGAACATCCAGGATTGAGATAAAAATCTTCAACATTTTAGTTTTAGCGTAGTTGTTTTGTAATTAATTATCTTGGAAATACTTGACAAATGCTTCATGTTGGCATTTCACAAGTTGGCATTTCAAATCCAATCTAGTACAGTATATGAAATAAAGTGTTATATCTGCAGATAACCAGGCACAATTTCCTTTTCATCCTGGAGAATAATGAAAAATCCTATAATTATTATTTATATTTAGAGGCTGCCCAAATCCAAAATGATTCTGGGTGATTTATACTTAAAAAAGAAAAAAAATGTAATTAGATAAAGCACACCATTATACCATTTCAACTACATTTAGAAAATTATTGCTAAATTTCAAGTATTATTATGCTATTAGTCTTATAATAGGCCATGAATATTATTTAATGTATAGATATGAATCTTACCTGGAATAGACTGTCATTGTTCTGTCTATACTTACTGGTCTGCTACTAGTGAATATGAATATCACTGACTGATATTTATGAGTTGGCCTAACATCCATATAATAGGACTTTAAATACCATCTCATATCATAATTCCCTAGTATGTAAATAAGAGAATGCAAGGTACAAATTTCAGGGAAGATCATTTCAATCTCTGAAGAATTGCTTGCCCAACATGTGACTGTGTATATGTACACGGAGAGAGGGAGAGAGAGAATGAATTACCTGTTTTCTCTGAACTCTTCTTCCTTTTCTCTCATTGCTGTTTGAGGCTCTTCAACATCATAAGAGAAGAGGTGAAAGGGGCTATATGGTACATAAGGTAATTTTTCAACATTTGGAGATGTCTTTGGAGTAACACATGATGAATTTGGGGAAGTAACTTTGACAGATGAGGAGGACGATGAATGATGAGGAAAAGGATGCAAAGCAACTGAATCAAGTGATGATGAGCTATTGGAAATATTTGTTCTACAGTTCCTGGAAAGCCTTTCATCCTGAGAAATAACACTTGAGATGACTGAAGTATCAAAATTCTGTGGAGCATGTTTAACCTTCTGTATTTCTGAGAACCCACTGGATTGAAAAGACAGGTAAGGAAAAGTAGAAAAAGAAGAGAAAATGGTGTTATGCAAGTATCTAAAAAAAAGATTATGCTGAAAGCAAAGAGTAATAACTATAGTAGAAATTTAGTTATACACTTACTTATCTGTCAGGAAGACAGAAAGAACTCGTTAGAATTGGCATTATATTTTTTTAGACCATGTTATGGACACTCTCATAAAATGTCTATGTATTACAGATTTCCAGTTCAAAAAATGTATCTTGTGATATGTACCTGTAGTCCAGAGGTGCAAAACTATTGCTCCTTTATGAGCTGTGGACTTCAACTCCCAGGATTCCTGAGACAACATGGCTGGCTCAGGAATTCTGGAAGTTGAAGTCCACAATCATAAAAGTGCCATTGTTTCACAATCCTGGACACAAATCATGAAGTACTTTCCAGAAATGAAACTGGTACAGTTTTTGGAAGGTTTCTTCTGGAACACGGATATCAAACTCGCGTCACATTGCCATCATGTGATGTTTCACGGGTTTCCTTAATGGAGCTGGGGTGGGCATGGCCTGCATATGACGCATCTGGCCCGTGGGCTTTCAGTTTGACACCTCTGTTTCAGATAATAGAATATAGGGCTGAAAGCAACCTCAGAGATTTTCTAATCCAATCCCCTGCTCAAGGCAGGGAATCTTATACAATCATAGTCAAATGGTTGTCCAGTCTATTTTTGAAAACCTGCAGTGATAGAGCATCCACAACTCTGGGAACAAAGTTATTCCATTGATTAATTATTTGGCCAGAAAATTTCTCCTTACTTCTAGGTTAGATCTCTTTTTAAAAAGATCTCAATTCCTGGTAATCTCTGGAAAAATCTATATAGTTTTCTCGGTAACATTTTCTTGACTGGTTTGCCACTGCCCTCTTCCAAAAGCTGAGACAGACTTACTTGGCAAAAGTCATCCAGCAAGGAAGGACCAGAACTCAGTCTCTTGTTTTAACCTGGTGTCTTAACCACCACACACAATGACTTTAAGTTATCTACTATTTCCAAAATGGTTTGTAAATCCCACAAGTAACTATTAGATGGTAGCTATCTTTTATTTTAATCTTTATAAAGATTGTTTTGTTAAATATCAGTTTCCCATATCAATTTTGTTTAAAAAGGCATTTTATAAAGTTCAGGTAGAAAGTACCACAGGAACTAGTGTTTATTGAAACTGATACCTATTCATGCCCTTGAAGAAAACTTCCCTAAATAAGTCCACTGTGGTATTTATCTATAAGTTTGTCTTTCCCACCTAAAATAATTGAGAATTCCAGAAAATAACACCTAACATTTAGATGGTGTCAGCTGACACGCAGAATTTGGGAGAAATATATTTAGTAGTTTCCTATTAAAAACAGTAAGTACTACTTCAGAACTTTTTTTAAAAAAAACCTGGTGAAAATCATTTTTATGAAAATATTGCAGAAGATAAATAATATTATGCTGCTCCCCCTCTGCTATCAGAGAAAAAGGTCCACCAAAGAGGCAAAGTTGGGAGTTTTGCAGCACTACAGTTGCTCTGGTAAAGGAGCTCTATTAGAAATGAGGAATTAAGAGAAAACAAACCAAATAGCAAATGAAAAAGGGAAGAGGGAAACATCCTGGCTCTGGTAAGCCTCTATCCTAATTATACTGAGGAATTTATGAAATTTAACTTTCTTCCATTGTTTTTGTTTTGTTAAAAAGAATACACAATTAAGAAATAGGTCATTCCAATTTAATTATGGTAAAGTAAAAACACTGAAACCAATGGAAGAAATCATCTTACATGGGTCCAGCAATAGCAATATATACTGTTATTAGCCCTTTCTAAGTGGTTTATAGAGTCAGCATATTGCCCCCAACAATTTGGGACCTCATTTTACCAATCTTGGAAGGATGGAAGGCTCATCCTCTCAACCTTGAGCCTGGTGGGATCTGAATTGCCAAACTGCAGTCAGCCGGCAGTCAGCAGAGACAGCCTGCAGTACTGCACTCTAACCACTGCGCCATAATGCTCATACTTTGAACTTTACTTTATGGTATACCTTAACCATAATTAAATCAGGTTACAAATGAGACATGTGGGTTTAATTTTAGTAAAATGCACATTTTAACAATATAGTATAATATTTCAAAGGTTTATTGTTAGTTGTTTCAAGAAATGTTGAACATGTTACTGAGGCCATGATCCTAGTACCTGGCATTGACCTGCCCAGTAGCCTTTTCCTCCCTCTCATCCTCTGTACCAGACTCTATGACTGGCTGTTCTTCCTCCTCGTCATAAGCCTTCTCTCTAGGACAAAACAAGGCATGCAAGTTGGACAGCAACACGAGACACATAAGAGATCTAATGAGGTATTATCAGTGAAACAAAATAAAACTAGAAATGAAAGGGGGGGGGGGAGGATAGAAATAAACATGGATTATATCTGCTAATAAAATGAGATGCAAAGGAGACTGGCATGAAGCAGATTTGGGGCCTCAAACATTCACTTCTCAATCAGTTTCTGGGGATCTTTGTTGCTATACAGAAACATTGAATAACAAGAAAAGATGACCTGTGTATATAAAATGCCATCCAGGGATGGAGATACAAAAGAGATAATGAATTATCTGTCAAGTGAATTGTGTTCAGGCAATTTTAGCAAACAAGCTACCACTGAGTTTTGAGAATTGAAGATAATTTCAATTTCAAGTGGCCATGCTTTATTATTGACAGTCACATATCTTATTTCATGATAGTGTACTTCAGTTGTTATTTCTTTCATTTGCTCATTGTTCACTCTACTCTTGTTTTGTTCTACATTCTTCCTATGGATCCTCTTTTCCAACACTTTTTCAAACATGTCTTTAAAATAATCTTTCCTATTACACTGATCCTTTATATCATATATTTTGTTCATTTTGTAATTTTCTATTTTGTGTAGGTAGTTTGGTGTCTTCTTATTACATCTATACATAGTATAATCCCCCTTCCTAACTCAGTTGTTGGCTCTGTTATTAACATAAGTACAGTTTTAAATACTTTGTTTTATTATGTCATCTCTCTAAGTGAGATAATCCATGCTATACAACAGTATCATCAATTAACTTACTTTCATATTAAGTTCTTTTCTGTATTAGGATGTGTGGTAAGACACATATTGTTCACTCCTTTTTAGTGTATCATACTATTATTGCAGCAATGTGCTTACATTTGGAGAACTCTTGCTAAATTTCAGTTCTTAAGTTATCACTCTTATAGAAGTTTATGGGTTTAATTCTCTATAAGTTTACATAGAAATTAATCCTACAGTATGCTTGATTTGATTTTACTCCCTCTACTCCTAATGAATGTATTGATCCATCTTGATTAATTTATGTGCATTGACTATCTTGTTAATGCCAAAATCTGTGGTAGATGACAGCTGATAGCAGTCTACACATACAGTTACAAACAAACATGGATGCACATGTATACACACATAGCCATCATCATCTCCTTCAGCTGATAATGATGCTTCATGCAGAATAATGGCAACTTGGGGGCTCTCATCACCACTCATGATTAAACAGGAATATAACCTGCCCTTTTATTACTCAACTTTTATATTAATTATATTATAGAGATACTTGTCAAATGAAAATTCCATTCTTCAAGCCTACTCCACAAACTGATTTCCATTATTTTATTTGCTGATTCTATCATTTTATCTATGATTCAAATGACAGGTTGCGGCAAAGCCTACAAAGTCTATTATCATATTGCTATAATGAGAAATTAGACATTTCATGATTCACAATAAAAGACACTTGTATATACCAAATGTCATATTAATTATCCCATTAGTCATAAATGCAGTAACAACCAACTCAATCTTGTTTAGGCCTTCAAATATTTAGGTCTCCATGACTTTGCAACACAAATGTTCATTTGCATTTCCCACTCATTACTCAGTGCATTTCTTATCTAGAACATGGATAATCTTTGTAGAAGTCTGTAATAGATTCTACTTCTTGAAATATTGACTAAACAGATATTTGGTGCTAGTATTGGCCCAGCTAATCCCGTAAAATAAAATTACCTTGTCTTGAAATAAAATAGTTTCGATCTGGCTCATTCTGATCTCTCAACCTAAACTATATTAATGCCAGGCCCAGAAAAAGCAATTGTTGAGATTAAACAAATTTACAAAATGACAGATGTGAAATATTGTATTATCTTTTGAGAAACATTGGCTGATGCCCTCTTCTGGTTACCTCAATATAACAGCACCAAAGAGGATGTGGTGAACTTCATTATTCCCTCCAATCAAATAGCAGCAGTAGCAATGACCAGAACATAAAACTAAATTCAATTTAACTGATGATCTAAGCCAGGCAATGAAAATGGTCCTGTCTGAAAACCAATGATTCATAGGTGACAAAGAGGATGTCTCCTTACATGACGGCCTTGCTTGAGTCAGAAGCAAACTCTGTTCTCCGATTTTACAAAGGAGCCATGACTCAAAAACCACAGTACACTTTAGGAAAACCCTGCATCTTGTTAGATGCCAGGTTTGGTGACCAAACATGAAAAAGACATGGAGGAATATGTGGCTAGTTGCCTCATGTGCCTTGGCTAAAGGACATGCTGGAAAATCCCCAGGACTTCTGCAACCAATCACTAACCTCATAACTCCTTGGAAGGAGAGCTCCATGGGCTATCATTGAACTATCTGAGAGCTCCTAAAATACTATGATATGGGACACCACCAACTTATTTTCCAAATTAGTACACTTTATGGCATGCCCGAAGATCTCTTCTGTACAAGCTCTTAAAAAGCTCTTTGATCAACACATCTACCACCTACATGGGGCTCCTAAAATAATTAATTCCTATCAAGGGGTGGAATTCATGTCCCAGTTCTGGTAACAGTTCCTACAGCTACTAGGAACCACCCAAGGACTTAGCTCCTTGCACCACGCTCACACTAATGGTGCCTGTGAGTGTACTAATGGGGTCTTGGAGCAATAGCTCAGATGTTACATCAGATATCAACAGGATGATTGGACTGACTTTCTACCCTTTGTAAAAATAGCCTACAACAATTCAATACATAATAGCACTGGTTTCATTCTGTTCTGTGTCATCATTGCCTGGGATTTTGTTGCTGTGCCAGAGTTCTCATAACAATCACTCCAATGTTTGTCTATGGCTTAGTGGATAAAACAATTACAAATTATATGGCCTGTTGCGCGCAAAACATTAGATGATGCCAGGGACACAAAAAAAGTTATGCTGACAAAAAGAGATCTCCACAGCAATATAATGTCAGACAAGAGGTGTACCTTTCCATCATGTACCTGCAAGTCAGACAACCATTGAAAAAGACTGGTGGTGAAAATTCATAGGTCCTTTCTCCATGAGTGTTATTAACCTAGTGACTATTAAAGTAAAATTGCCCCCAAACCTGAAGAGAATCCATACCATTGTAGTTCTTGAAATCTGTAAGGACTTCATTTTTGTAACGACCAACAGAAAACCACATTGAAGTTGAGCAACATTTTGAAATCAAGGAAATCCTAGACTCCCACCTCCAGAAAAGCAAATTCCAATATCTAATTCTAAGGAAACACTTACCCCCTTCTGAGACTGAATGGGTGGCTGCGCCACATGTATAAATACAACTCTTATTGCATAAATTTCATACCTTGTACTCTCACAAGCCACAATGAATGTCATACATTAATAAACTCGCTCTTATTTTCTTTTCCAAGTTTAACCTTTTATTCCAAGGCAGGCAGAATGTTAGAACTGCCACCTCATGCTTATGCTCTGCTACTGCTTGTGCCAGTTTGCTATGAACTTTGGGGAGACTAGATGGGAAGGGGGAGGATTCAGGGGTAACAAGTTCACTGTATCTGTAGGAGATGCAACTTCAAGTTCAAATGGCTGAGAACAGCTGCATTCTACATATGAAGCTACTGTTAAAAAAATCTCTTCAAATGTGATTGGACAATGGGACTCAGCATGGGGATAAACCAAAGGGGGGGGGAGAGTTACTCTTGGGAATTTTGGCACATGCTTTTCAGGTCTGATTTTCCTCTACTGTATTTCACTTGATCTATAGTAAACTATACCTTTCTCAACAAATGGAGTAAAGGATTGTTCTTGCTTAACTATTCAAATTGAGGCAGGTCTGACATTGATAGATTGGTTAGTTATGTTTGTTATATCGAATTAAAGAGGTTCATCTGAAATTCTTAAAAGGACAAAATATGTATGCCTCCATCTATTTCATAAACCAACATAAATACCACATGACTTACATGAGTGCCAATCAAATTTCGGCTTACTGGTCATACATGATATATGCTTTTCAATACAAAATATAGAATATAAAATAACAGAGTTGGAAGTGATCTTGGAAGTCTTCTAGTTCAATCTACTGCTTTATCATTTCAGATAAATGATTGTTCAGTCTCTTTTTGTAAGCCTACAGTAATGCTTACATCAGAAGGCAAGCTGTTCCATTGGTTGATTGTTCTCATCATTAGAAAATTTCTCCTTAGTTCTAGATTGCTTCTCTCCTTGATTGGTTTCTATTCATTGTTTCTCATCTTGCCTTTTGGTGCTTCGGAAAATAGTTTGACCCCCTCGTCTTTGTAGGAGCCCCTCAAATATTGGAACACTGCTATCATGTTTCCCTCTTTTAATTAAACTAGATATACCCAATTCCTGTAACTGTTCTTTGTATGTTTTAGCTTCCAGCCCCTAATCATTCTTGTTGCTCTTCTCTGCACTCTTTCCATTGTACAATGTTTTATGCTCATTCTCACAAGAATAGAATATAATTCTTTATTGTCCAAATGTGACTGGACACACAAAGAATTTGTTTTTGGTACATAAGTTCACAGTCTACATAAAAATAACAAGAAATATATATCATAAATCATAATTACAATCATTAATCATAAGTTACAGACAGTGCTGTGGGAATTAAGCATTCAGCAGAGTGTCTAGTTGTTGTGACATCAATCTATAGAGAGGTTAAAACAGTTTATGTCCAGAATGTGAGAGGTCTATATTTTCTCAGCCCACTTTCTGGTTTGTGCAGTATACAGATCCTCAATGGAAAACCGGCTGATTGTGGTTGTTTTTTCTGCAGCCCTGAAGTCTGTACTTGTATTGTTTTGTTTACTATGTAAAAAAAATATTGATACACAAATGATATTCAATAATTCCTTTGTAGAACTGTATCAGCAGATCCTTGGGCAATATGAGCTTACTAAATTGACACAGGAAGAACATTCTTTGTTGCGCCTTTTTAATGATGGTTCTAATGTTAGGTGTCCATTTCAAGTCCTTCGACATAACAGAATCTAGATAGTTGAAGGCTCTAGTATTGATACTATGTTGCCTAATATTGTAAGAGATGATAGAATAGATTATTTGCAAATGTACAATAATTTACAGTTTTACAAATGTGCCAGCTTGTTCTACCTCTTGTCTATATGCAGACTCATCATTGTTTAGAATGAGACCAATGACTATTGTACCATCTACAAACTTCAGAACTTTTAACAGAGATATCCTTTGAGATGAACTCATTGGTATACAAAGGGAAGAGTAATGGAGACAGCACACAGCCCTGGGGGGTTCCTGTGCTAATTGAATGGTATTCTATGTGATTTCTCCTAGCTTCACCTGCTGCTTCCTATTAATTAGAAACTTTATAATCCATCTACAAGTGTGATCAGGACAGCTAGGTGAGTCAGTTTAAAGAGGAGGATTTTAGGAATGATGGAGTTGAATTCCAAGCTGAAATCTACAAAAGGGACCCTTATAAAGTTCCTTGTGGATTGAAGATGTTGTAAGATGTAATGCAGTGTCTTATTGACAGCATCATCTGCTGATCTATTTGTATGGTAAGCAAATTATAAGAGGTCTAGCAGCAGACCTGTGAGGATTTTCAGGTGGACCAACACTAACCTTTCGAAGGTTTTCCTAACTACAGATGTCAGAGCCACTGGTCTGTAGTGATTCAACTCTTTGATGGAGAGTTTCTTGGGCACTGGAATGATAGTAGAGTGTCTGAAGCAAGAAGGGATATAACACATCTCCAGTGATTTATTAAAGATGCGGGTGATGATGTGGTCAGTTGATTAGTACAGACTTTCAAGTAAAAGGGAGTTACCCTGTCTGGCCCTGGTGCTTTTCCACCTTTTTGTCTGTGAAATAGACCTCACACATATTTTTCTTTAATCACCAAAGGTGAGGATCCCAGACGGATGTAGGAGACTTAACTGCTGTTCTTGTATCTGAGATGGCAGCAATAGTTGACATGATCTACTCCCAAACCTACTGTAGAACACATTCAGATCATCTGCCAATTGCTGATTCTTTTCTTCAAAGGGTGCAGATCTGCTGTAGCCAGTGATAATTTTCAGGCTTTTCCACACATTTGCTGATTCATTTATGGAGAGCTGAATCCTCAGCTTTTCAGAGTAGGTCCTTTTTCCTGCCCTCATCTTCCCTGTTAATACATTCTTGGTCTCATTGTCCTTTCCAGTAGGCTTCCTCTTTGGCAAGACGTAGATGTTTCAGCTTAGATGTGAACCAAGTTTTATTATTACAATGACATAATTAATTTTTAAGACAAGACTGTCCAGCAGAAATGCTAGAGAATAATGGTTTATAGTATATAATATGTATATTTTAGGTAGGAAATTATATATCATGATGAATATGCTAACATATCATATGCATGTGTATGTACTGTGTATATAATGTAAACATATGTGTGAATACATATAACACACACACACAAACACACATACATAGTAATGTATGTATATGTACATAAGGTGCCAGTCAAATGCTAAGCTTGTCAGCTGGAGAGCTGATTGCCTAGGTCCAAGAACCAAGCTCCATGCAACAGGATAAGCTCCTGTTACTTGCTCCAGCTCCTGCCCACCTAGCAGTTTGAAAACATGCAAATGTGTGTAGCTCGGTACCCCTTATGTGGAAAGTAACAGTGCTCTGTGTGCCTTTGGCATACCCCTATGCTGGCTACTTGACCACAGAAATTGTCTTCAGACAATGCTAACTCCCTCAGTCAAGAAACAGAGATGAGCACCATGCTCTAGAGTCAGACATACAACTGATAGGGAAACCTTTACTTTTACATTTTACATACAGCATGTTTAAGTATATAAAATATATTTATATTATATTATAGATACACACACACACACACACACAAACCAGTGGGCCAGATCAAGAAAAATGTGTAAGAGACAACATTGCTACCAGATGGATTTGAAACTGGCTGTGACCAACAGCACTCAACATATAGTCCTCAGTAGAACTAAATCTATATTCAGGGAAGCATGCTGTGGGATACCAAAAAGTTCTGTCTTAGGCCTAGTATTCCTCAGCATCATCATAAATGATTTAGATGAAAGGCTATAAGGGAAATCATCAAATTTGAAGAGAAAAACAAACTGAGGTGAGCAGCCAATACTTTAGAAGATAGACTTCTTAATGCACTTGAATATTTGCCCCCTATCCAACAAGATGCAATTTAATGAGCAAAGAAAGATTTACCTTTAGGTAAGAAAACTAAATGTGTAAGTATAGGTGGTACCTGGTTCAATAACTAACTGTGAAAGAAACCTGGAAGTCCTAGTGGACAATCATTTAAGTATAAGCCAACAGTGTGCCCCAGCTGCCAGAAAACCCAATACAGTTCTAGGCACCATCAACAGAGGGATATCAAGATCATGTGAAGTGTTAGCACTATGTTATACTGCCTTGATAAGACCACACTTGAAATATTGCTTACAGTTTTGATCACCACTATACAAAATGATGCTGAGATCCTAGAAAGTGTGCAGAAGAGAGCAATGAAAATGATTAGGAACAGAAGGCTAAAACAATAGGAATGGTTGCAGGAACTGGATATGTCTAGTCTAACAAAAAGAGACTAGGGATGACATGATTATGGTCTTCCAATAATTGAGGGGCTGTCACAGAGGAGATCAACCTATTTTACAAACCACCTGAGGGTAAGACATAAAGTAACAGATGAAAGCTGATCAATTTACATACAGCTAAGGAGAAATTTTCTGCCTTTGACAACAATTAACCAATGGAATGGTTTGCTTCCAAAAATTGTGAATGCTCCATCATTGAAGGTTTTAAGAAGAAATTGGATAGTCATTTGTCTGAAATGGTATATACAGTATGTTTCCTATTTGAGCAGGGGATTGAACAAGAAGATTCCAAGATCTCTTCCAATTGTTATTCTGTACTCTAAGCAGGATTCCCTTTTCAGAGAACTCATGATTCAAACTTTACATACTATCTGGTTTAACAAGTAGTTAGACCCAATGAGAGGTAATGTTATAAAAAGCAGACAGGGCTGGGCAGTTGATATTTCCTATTTTCCAGTTGAAATAACATACATAATAAAAATAGAAAAAAAATCTTCATAATTTGTTCCTTAGATTGTACTGCCCACTTCCCCCAGATTTCCTAGTCTTTCTTGCCAGCTTAAAAAGATCCATTTGGTATTCATAACCATGGAATCTTCATCAAATTGAGTCAAATTTGAAATTAACAGGTTGATATGTGCCCTTTTCCAGATAAAATAATAGTCCTCAGCTGCTTGAGTAATGCTATAAAATACTCTGTTTTGATTTTCAAATTTGAAAACTATTGTACCATAAATATTTATGGCAAAACATCTTCCCTCCCATATACCTAATTTTTAAAATGAAAATAAATTTGTGAAATATGTTTTTTGATATAAAGTGTATGATTTAAATTGGAATATATACTAAGACTTTTGTAAATGCAGCAGGGGGAATGATGGCTCAATAGTTAAAGAAGCTGAGCTTGTCAGCTGGAGAGCCGGCAGCCTGGGTTCAACATCCAAGTTCCACATAACAGGGTGAACTTCCATTACCTGCCCCAGCTCTTGCCCACCTAGAAGTTTGAAAACATGCAAATGCAATTAGATTAATGTCCCACCTCGGTGTGAAGGTAATAGTGTTCTGTGCATCTTTGGCATGTAGCCATACTGGCCACATTACCATGAATATTGTCTTTGGACTATGCTGGCACCCTTGTCAAGAAGCTGAGATGAACACAATGCCCTAGAGTTGGACACGACTGACTTTACCTTTACATTACTCTATATGTACTTCTTCAGAATAATAAGCAATGACAAGGATGACTTGATATATCAGCAAGCATAAATGATTAAGGGTGTTTAAAAAGCATAAAAGCAGCATTGCCATAATAGGAATGTTATGTAACTGGAAAGAAGTTACTAATTGTTTTTCAATTAAAAAGCTAAGTATCAAGGCAGCACTGAAACGATACATTTCAATAAATACATTAAATAACTTCTTTTATAATAGCTTCTTGTAATCTTTTGACTTCCTATGATTTTGATTACATCAAGCTAGCCATACTTTTATTTTCCCCATATATTTTATTAGTAAATAAAAGGATATGTTTGCAGTAATTCTTTTTTTATTTTAATTGGAAAATTGTTAAACTATCAACTTCTGCAGATTGTCTATTTTCTTAGGAATTAATTGCTTGCCTTATTTCATTTTCAATAACTGAGCAAATAGCATGTTGTCAAAATGTTACATGTGAGTATATCATTTTCAGCAAAATGAATCATAACTGTGGGTGTAAAGTTATATCAGCCAATTATAAATCATAGAAATTTGAAAATATAAAAGGCACAAAGAAACTAGGAACGCTTCTTGTTTCTATACCTACTTCTCACTATATTCTTCAGTGCTCTGTCTATGGCCACACATGAAATTAGGGCTTGAATGAGTGCAGGGGCTAGCAGGGGCTGATAAAGTATTCTTGACACTCTGAATGGAATGCCTCCTGCTCTTCCTACGTTCCAGCCCTCTTCGTTCATTGGAACCAAGACTAGTTCTTCTTCTGTCTTTGCAGGCAATAGGAAGAGGTTCTCCACTATCATCACCATCTTCATGTCTCAATGTCATCTAAAAAAAAATGAAAGGGAAAGTGCAGGGAATAATGCATATTGATTTATATATTTGTTTTGTCCCACAAAGACATCTCAAAATGTCTTTTTATGATTGTTCTTTATCAAGGCTTTGATAATCTGGATTTTGCAGGACAAAAGATTTCAGATGCTTTTTATACATGTTGAAGAATCAATCTGTCTATGTAGAAATTCCAAATATAACATACGCTTCATCTTCTATGTTCACACAAGAAAAATGCCCCCTGAACCCTCAGACTGAAAGTAAAAATAATAATGAGATTTTAAGTGCAACTCTCATCCAAAATATTGTTCCTTGTTATGCACTCTTGGCATGAAAAATAAAGATAGATGCTGAAATTTCAAAGAAGAATGAAGAGATGTATTTGTGGAAGATCAAAAAGGCAATGTGAGAGGGGTCTTTCTGTTGTACCTAATCCCTATCAGCCTGTTCTTCATGATATTATTGAAATAGCATCTCTCCCTCCTATGACTCTAGATACCATCCTTTCATAGCAGAGGGGCTAAACTGTACCCAGAAAAAAATAATGGTATTATTTTATTAATTCCCAGCTACTGGGAATTAAAACCTTTTGCTGTCAACAGGGTTTAGACAATTATAGTCTCCATCAGCTAAAAGGAGAAGTTAAAACTACTGTGAAAATTTGAACAAATAGCATTCATGGTGAAATTTACTACACAGAAAATAAATTAATCTAAATGTATTTATTTCTGTTCCTTTACCTGCCTCTCAAAGACCAACCCACATCCACATTGTGGGATGTGGAAACAGGAAAAAGCAAGGAATCGCAAGGAGTGGGCCAAGTATAGCATTGCCTTGTGACACAGGACCTTTACAGCAGCCATGAAGGCTATCCTGGGTCTCCCCAGGCTTAGCTAAAGGGGCTCTAGTGAAATTGCAACAAAATCATAACAAGATGCAAATAGACTGATGAAATCAAAAATTACAACAGCAATATTGAAGTATTAAGATATAGAATAGACAGAAAAAAAGAGCTATTTTGAACACAGCTGGCGTGGGGAATAAAACAGAAGAAACTGTAGATATTATGGAAAAACAGGGTTCAAGATAATGGGACTATCCGATATAAGATGTAAAGGGCATGGCAGTAAGAAAGTTTTCAGAGGATACTTGTTTATTTACCCTGGAGGGGATACAGCAAAGAATGGAATGGGATTCTTGATATATCCAGACATAGCAAAATGCATACTAGATATCAGTAACTGTTAAGATAAAATAATGAATAATGAAAATCAAGAGAAAAGAACAAATTGAAACATACGTACAATTACATGCCCCATGCAATGATAATTACATAGAGGGACAAATGGATGAGTTCTTGAATTAACTATCTTAAGAGATAGAGAAAATGGAAGCTAACAGTATGGTGTATGTAATGGGAGATTTCAACGGTAGAGTAGGTACTAACATAAAAGAATATGAACAGTTCATTGGCTCACCTGCTGTTAAAATAGTGAAAGGAACCAGAATGGGCAAAGGATACTGGACTTATGCAGTCAACACCATCTTTTTATTATTAATACATTTTTGAATTCCGAAACTCGCAATACTATGCATGGTATATATATATATATATATATATATATATATATATAAATGGCATGACATCATCACTAAAAACCAGATAGATCACATATTAACAAGTGTAAAAAGAAGAGTCAGAATATTCGATGCAAAAGCAATCTCCAATAGACTATGTGACACCTATAATAAGATCGTAGAGCTAACAGCAAGACGTTACAACTTTAATATTAACAGGAAAAAACCAAATAAAAACCAGGAATTAATTAAGATTGCAAAAGTTAAACTAGAAGTAGTAGAAAGTTACAACAAAATGTGGAAACAACATTTTGCCCATTATTACCAGTGGTGGGAAATCTGGAGGATAGGTATACAAAACTATCTAGCTTAACATTGTGGAAGAACAATGTGAAAAAGGAAAAATGGAAAAAGGCAAAATAGGACCAAACACACTGCATGGTGGTGTGATAAAGTTAAAGAAGAAGTAAAGTTGGAAAAAAAGGTTATATAATTGTTGGATAAAATCAAGAAGATTATATAAATTATAGATTTCAGACTATCAGGATAACTGAGAAGGCAAAACAAAAATCCTATGTGTGCTTTGGAAAAACACTGAGATCAGCCTGTAGAAAGTTTTTCAAAGTAGTAAAAAATATATGGAAAAAATGGGACAATTATAGCCCCACAGAGATAATCAGACAAGAAGGAAAGGTAACTAACAGAGCCATCAGAAATCATAGAAAGATGGAGAGAATATTTCAAAGAGCTCCTCAAACTCCTAGAACAATATCATGAAGAAGCAACACAAAACCACAAAACAATAGCGTTAGAGCCAGAAATACTAATAGATAAAGAAACAAGGATAGTTAAAAAGTGATGTAAATACAAAGTATCAGGAATTCAACAGAAATAATTCAAGTCATGGGGAAAAGCAGCATCAGATGATTACATAGTCTTTAATGCAGAACACAACTAATGTACTTACTGATTGGTAATAAGCAAATAAAATAATTGTGGAAAAACAAAGGGAGCAAATGAGAATGCACACACTATTGGGGGCATCTCACTCTTGAGCCAGTAGAGCAGCAGTCCCCAACCTTTCTGGCTTTGTGGACTGATGGCGGGGGAAGAGGTGGTTTGGTGTGCACATGTGCCAGTTGTGTAAATGCAGCTTTGAGTATTCATGTGCCGTTTGTGCTGCCTGGTTCTCAACAGGCCACAGCCCAGTACTAGGTTGCAGTCTGGAGGTTCAGAATCCTTGATGTAGGGAAAATGTCCACCAATATAAAAGGAAACGAAATTAACATGAATTATGAAACTATAAACAGATGGGTTTTAGAAGAAACAGAAAGTGCATAGATGCATTTTTTGTAATTAAAAAATTAATATAAAAGAATATGTAATAAAATAAGAATTTCTTCGTTGCATTTGTAGACCAAGAGAAAGAATTTCAATAGAGCGGATAGGAAATTACTATGGCAAACTCTGTCCAATATGGAGTAAGTAAACATGCAAAAGTTTATATAGTGATTGCAGAAGTGTAGTTAGAACAAATCATGGATCCCTTCATAGAAATGGCTGGAATAAAACAGGGATATGTACTACCACCACTATTGTTTATCACTTATATTGACAGCATAAGCAAAGAACCCACCCCTGATGTGAAGCACTTTACAAGCAGATCCTTTTCTTAATGCTGTATGTTATAATTTGTTATTAGTTATAAAACTACTGTACTGCATCAATTTTATAGTTATCAGTATTAATCTAGTTCAATTGGGTCACACAGTTAAATAAATACACTTGCTTACATTTTGGTATTATCCCTGCCTAGTAAAAATGCATTTTACAATAAACTATACTACCATGTTTCTGTATCTGTAGTGCATATGCATATCTTTGCCTTTCCAAATAAAAATAAATAGGCAAGTAGTACTATAGATGTACTTTTCTTGCAAACATTATGAAATATTCCCAAGCTGTAAAGGAGAAGGACATTTTATATTATTACCTCATAAATGTTGAATTGCTCTACTAAGTCCAAATCTGATCCTTTCTTGTTCAGATGCTTCCGGGAAATAATTTCCATCCCCAGCTCTTCTAGACAGTCAATAACATCATAAAAAGAATCTTGATCTGGCAAGCCAGATAATGTCTGAAAGTAAAAATGGAATTATTTTAATTTTTTGTTTTGAAGAGAATATCAAGTGCGACTTAAGTGTCAGTCCTATGTATTGCTTGATATATGCCACCAATGTCTTTTGGGGTAACTTTGGAGAATGGAAAGTTAATGGAATGATATAAATCATAGGAATAAAGGAAGAAAAATTATTTCAACATGTAAGAAACTGAATGTACAATTGAAGTCAGCCTTTTTTTTAGATTTGATTGACAATCAGATTGAAAAATTATAACTTTGTTTTTATATATGACAACAGCAGGAAGGCTACTCTATATACATAGATGGGGAAAAAATCACATATACCCAAAATGGAAGAATCGATGGTAAAATTAATGGAGTATGAAGATAAGGCGAAATTGACTGCTTTGATGACTATTATTTATTTATTTGGGTTTCCACTTGAAAACCACTTTTTTTATTTGAAACATTTTTTTAAAATTTTCAGTTTTGATAATAGTGGTGGTGACAGAAGTATTGTTTGTTATGCTTTATTGTAGTTCAAAGGGCATTATCCTATCAAAAAAGTTAGAAATTATCTTTTTCTATAGCTTTTTTTCTTTTTTCTTTTTGCAGTTTCCAGCATGCATGCATGCACAAAGACCAGCAGGGTGCACCGAAAACTGGTAAAGTGTCAATGAAGCACCCCCAGCCCGCCACCAAGAAAAAGCCATTGCAGCCCCCCCCCCCACTTCTGCAAAGGGAATCTGGCTGGTGCACCTCTTACCCCCCTGCAATGGATTCAGTCCTGCACAACCTGCCGCCCCAGAAGAAGAGCAGCAGCAACAGTGGCAGCTGCAGGGTAAGGCGCAGGAGCGACCAGCAAGCCGGGCCCTCAGCAGCATCTCCATATGTGAGGAGCTGTGCTATCCTCTGGCCCTCCAGGGGCAGCTTGCCTGTCTGAAGGTGGCTTCTCCTCCAGCATTCCAGGAGAAAGGGCGGAGGGTCAGTGGTGGTTCTTGCGCTGCTGCTTCTGGCTGGGATGCTGGAGGAGCTGCCATTGGGGAGATGAGTGCCCCAGGAGGGTCGGAGGAGAGCACAGCTCTTCACGTATTGAGACGTCACTCAGGGCCCGGCTCGCCGGTTGGGGAATGGCTGCAGGGGCCAGCCGGTTGCTCCTCTCCCTCACCCTGCAGCTGCTCTTCTGGGGCATCTGAGCCAGCCAGGTGCTCCAGACCATGGATGTGCATCAGTGCCGGTGGACTGGAGCAGTGCAAAAAGCCTGCTTGGACGGGAAGCCCTGGCCCACCCATCCTGGTCGACAGCTCTGCTCTCCTAGGAAACGACCATCGAGATCCCCTCCCCACGACTTTTGGCACACAAGCTGTTGCCTGTTGATCTCCTGGATTCTAGCCAACTGGTCCTCATGTGTGCAGGAGCACCGAAAACCTCTGCAGTTGCCTGGTGCATATGCGCATGGGTGGAAAATGATCTTCCAGTTTCCGGCATGCACATGCGCACTGGCCACCAGGTCTTCGCCCGTGAATGCATGCCAGAAACTGGAAGACCAGGTGGCTGGCGCACATGTGCACTCACAGTTTAGGGAACAAACAGGGTGAACTTGAAGCACTAGTACACAAGGGCAGATATGATATTGTTGCTATTACTAAATATTGGTGGGATTAAATTCATGACTGGGATGAAAGGATTCAAACTATTGAAAGGAAATATACCTAACAAGAGAGGAGGTGGAGTTGCATTATATGTAAGAGATCATTACATCTCTACAGAAATCCACAAAACATATGGGTCAATATAAAAAAAGGAAAATGACACTGCCACCCAACTAAGCAGAAGAAAGTTTTGCAAACTAATCAACACATATACACATATTTTCTTTAAAACATGGAGTATTCTTCACCATATTTAAAAAAAAAGGTTATAAAACATAAAGACAATATAGGTGAGAAAGCAGTAGATTTGTCCATTAGTGCAGTTAGAGGCATACTTATGTCTGACTAAAATCATGTGGTTGGAATTCTGCTGGGTTGTTCTTGTTTATTAATTGACTCTTTGTCACAGCATATAATACATAGTCTAGAAGAATCTTGATGCATTATCAAAGGAAGAAAGCATTTTTAAAAATCCATTCCGATATTAATCTCTCTGTTGACTTTAAAATAAATTTCTAATTATAACTTTAATACACAGAAAACTCTGCATATATTTGAATACATGCATGTCAAATTACGACAAACCTTATTTATTAAAGTCATTGCATAAACTAGTAATTCTGTATCAAGTCCATCCTTTTCCTCCAAAATCTCCATGACACTGGACCATAGCTTGAAACCTGAACAAAGAAAAGTAGTATTATAAAGAAGAATTTAATTTATCTGTATCAGCTATTTTTTTAAAAAAAATACTTAGCAGAGAAAACATATAATGGATTAATATTTAAAACAGTCTAATTACATATATTATTTGTGGAAGTAAAACATGGTTGAGTTCAATATGCTTAGTACTGAAATCCATAATGTATTCCTTCTGCTTCTTCCTAAAATGTACCAGCTTATACCTGCTTGCTCAAATGTCTTACTCCATAGTCTCAAACCAACAAATGGTTATGGGAATGAGAGGCAAATATAATTTGCATTCTTATAGAAGTAGACCTCAACTTACAAACACAATGTCGACTAAAATCTCAATCACTGAGAGAAGTGGTTGTTAAATGAGATGCCCACATGATTGCTTCATTCAACGAATGCAATTCTGGCTTTCCCAGTGAGAGTTGTTAAACAATCACATGGGATATTAAAGGATCACGTAGGAAAATCTGCCATCATCCCAGACAAATGGTTGTCCAATCTTTTCTTGATTCCTTCAGTGATGGGCATCTATAACTTCTGGAGGTTAAGCATTCCATTGATTATTTTTTCTTATTGTCAGAAAATTTCTCCTTAATTCTAGGTTGAATCTCTCTTTGATAAGCTTCCATTTGTTGCTTCCTATCTTACTCTCAGGTGCTTTGGAGAATAAGTTGACCACTTCTTCTCTGTAACAGTCCCTCAAACATAGAAGACTGCTATAAAATCACGTTAGTCCTTTTCTTCATTAGATTAGATGTACATAGTTCCGGCAACCATTCATCATATATATTAGCTTCCAGTTCTCTAACAATCTTTGTTGTTCTTCTCTGCACTGTCTCTAAAGTCTCAACAATGGTTTGTATCATGGTGACCAAAGCTGGATGCTTTATTCCAACTGTAGTCTTACCAGTGCTAACATATCATATGATCTTGAAACTATCCTTCTGTTAATGCAGCCAAGAACTGCATTGACTTTTTGGCACATGCAGCATACTGCTAGTTCATACTTACATAATTGTCCACCTAGAACCCTCTCACAGTTATCACTGTTGATCCAGGTATTACCTATTCTATACCTGTGCATTTGGTTTTCCTTGCCTAAGTATTTTCGTACCACTGAATTATATTTTTGGGGATAGGGTCCACAGAGTTCAAGACTGCGAAGAACCGAAAGTTTTGGCTACCCTCCCCCACTCCAGCTTGAAGTTGTCTGCAAATTTGTTGAATTCCCCTTCTATCACCTCATCTAAACTATTTATAAAGATGATGGATACTGGGCCTAAGGTAGAAGCTTGGTATATTCCACTTCATGCTTCCCTGTATGTAGTAGATGTGGCTTCATTGAAGAATAAACATTGAGTGCAGTTGGTCAACCAATTATAAATTCATCTGCTGGTGATACTGTCGCTTTCACATTATTCTGTCTTACCAAGAAATAGGCTGTGGATAAGCCTTGGAAATTTAATTTTTTGAAGTTGTTTAATGAAGAGGGAGCAGTAGTTTCACCATCAAAGATTCCAAATTTTAAAAATGATTGGGTTGAATCAATTGCCAATTGCTCTGGGGTAAAGCAAACTCAGATTTTACTCCTTTTTTGTTGATGTTATTGTTCGCACATTTGAGTCAGTGTTGACTTTTGTGACTGTCTGATTAGTCCCTGCAATTTTCTTGGCAGGATTTCAAAACTGATTTGCCACTACCTCCTTCCACGGCTGAGAGAAAGTGACTGGTTCAAGATCACTCAACTGGCTTTGTGCCTAAGACAGGACTAGAACTCAAGGTTTCCCTGTTTGGAGCTAAGTGCTTAACCATCACAACAAAGTGTCTCTCTTTAACTGCTACAAAAGTTTTAATTTAGCCAAATTTTAAAGAATTGTTAATTCTTTAATAATTAAAGAAAAACATATTGTTTCCACTCAGAAATGTCCATCCCTAATCTTTCATAAAGTAGTTTTCAGGCAGCATTTAATTGTCTTTGTTTTTACAGACTTTGAAACATTGAGAACACAAAGAGATTCCCCATGAGAATAATCCTCTAACTGACTTGTAAAAAGAGTTAAAGAACATTTAATTCATGTATCTTTTGAATTTCAGAAGATTTTTAAAAAATCCTGATGCCCTTCTACAGGATAAAAATAAAATATATTTTCCATTAGGACTATTCATGCCTTTAGTACAAATTGTTGTATTTGTTTGATCATTTTAGAAAACAACAACAACAAAAATATAAGCAGCTTCTCTTAGGAAATTCCTGATTCTAAAGATGCCATCCCTTTATTGCATTGGGCATCTTTCATAACTCTTGAAGATGAAATGATAGGATATCAGCATTTGTACAATTTTCTTGATAACTAATCAAGATTGTATGTTACTATGTATGCTGCTGGATTGAGAAAAATTCAAAACAATCCTTCCAGAAAAACATCAGCAATATGATGGGATCATTATAAGAATGAAGGAGAGTAGTATTTGCCTTTGGTTCCAAGAGATTGGAAATGGTATAAGATAAATGAAAAATCCACTTTTACTTCATATTACTTCACATGTAGAGTAGATTTGGTCTAGTGGTTAAGGTACCAGGCTAGAAAGTAGGAAAATATGAAGTCATTTAGCCATGGTTGAGTTAAGAGGGAATGACTGGCCAGAAGTAAGCAGTTGGCTTTGGGCCAGTTACTCTCTCTCAACCTAATCCATGGTTGTTATTATGTGGAAAATAGAAAGAGGAAGATATGCTGGATATGTTTGCTGCCTTGAATTATTTGTAAACATAATAAAAGCGTGATACAAATAAGTAAGTGAGTGAGTGAGTGAGTGAGTGAGTGAGTGAGTGAGTGAGTGAATGAATGAATATTTAAATAAACCTTTGCAGAGTTAGACAACAGCCTCGATCCTACTGAACTGGGAAATCAAACAAGTTTGGAAGTCTCTGTAGATGGATGCCAAATTTCTTATACAATGAATTAATTCAAACACATTCTAACCAGTTCTATATAGAACCTGAAAGTATTACAACTGTCTTCTCATCTTTGAGCTACCTGGCAATCCTTCAGTCATCCAGCACACCAGTTCACGATTGCTTATAGCATGCCAAAATAACCCCTTTTGCAGAATATTCATTACAATTGTTTCAAGGGAGATCAAACCAATGCTGTTGTATAACATAATGTATTGGAGACAATGACTAATTGCTCTTTTGCTTTAATAAATAATTCACATATTTTCCATCCCTCTCAATCTACACCTCCATTTTAATCATTGTTTTCAACAATTTTATCTTAAAACCAATGAATTCTATAAACATCTGGATTTGACTTTGAATGATAATGTACAGTTTATGAAAGGATATTAAGTTTATTGATTAGTTTGGGGTGTCTTTTCTCAAGTTTAACCAAAGGAAAATATCTAATGACCCCCACACACTATTTTTGTAGTGTAAGTATTTTTTAACAAATAGACTATCCACAATTATTTCCCCTCTTTTTAGAAGAATAATGACTCACCCCTTTTTGCATCAACAGTAGCCACTGCTTCAATAAGAAGAGATGAATTGGATTCAGTATACTCCACAAAAACAAGGAGCAATTTCAATGCTGTCTTTACCACCAGGCGAAACTGCAAGGGAAGAAACAGCTATTCATAAATCAAACTGTAAAATTTGCAGAATGGTTGTTTCTTTTTACTGCAATGCAGGCTAATCCTATGTGGAAATAAATCATTGCAGTAGCAGCAGCATTATCCCTAAGTCATTGATTGAAGCAAAATATGCTTCATCTTCTAAATTAAATGTCAAAGTAGAACAAAAAGCAAATCCATAAAACATGTACAAATAGAACTGGTTAGTCTAGCCTAGTTCCTCACTCTTTTTAATCACTCTTTAGGTGCTATCTAAACACCTTTAATTACTGATGCCATAATTTAAACCAGAGACTTAAAACATATGGTCTGAAACTAATTCTATTTCCACCCTCCTAAAACATATGGACCTTCTTTATCCTGAGTCATAATTATTATTTTAAATGATTCACAGAATCAATTTGTTGGGCTCAAGAATCAAACTGCCTCATATCAGAAGTTGAATACATAAATGGATGAGTCACACTCTGAAACACTCTATATAAAATAACAGAAACCTCCAGTACAAAAGTTTTCCAAATTCTAGTACTAGCTTTCAGTATCAGTCCAATGGATCGGAGCAAGCCATTTTGGAACAGAATAATGAAAAATATCAGAACTCTAGCTACTGAATCAGTTGCAGGACATGCTATACTTTGCTTGACAAATTGTCTGTTTTTAAAAAACTATTTATCTCCTGTCCTCAAAAAAAGATAGGAATAATAGTATTTTACCATACATACTTTTTGAAAATGTATTTTTATTGCTTTTAAAAAATAGCAGAAACCAAAGGGGAAAAAACAAATTACAAAGATAAATAATGCAAATACATACAAAAACTACTTATCAAAATGCTTTAAAATGAAAAAATAATACAAAAAAAGAAACATAGTGCACCATTATAACAAATAACAATTACAATTCTACATATAATTATCTTATATAAACATTATTCATATATTTCTAATCCATTTATACAATTCCCATTGTTTTGTAACCTACTGTATTTTGAGTAAATGTGTTCCATATTTCATTTTACCTGAAAGCAATGACCCGACTGCATTATATTAAATGTTAAACTAATGAACAGTTCTTTGATTGTTCCTCTTTCTAAAAGGGAATAAAATCTTGTAGTGTTTTACTGGTTCTTAAATAAAACTACAAATTTCTATATCACTATTATATTGTAAGAATTAAAAAGGCTACAGAAAGGGTCTGAAATATCCCCTTCACTACAATTTCCAACCATAATTAAAACTGAATAAAATAACTTCTAAATAGACTTTTTCCTTAATAGCAATTATTTATATCTAAAGCATTGTTGATTTCAGGAGGCAAAAATATACTATGTATGTATGATAATTGGTTGGATAAAAATACTAGCAAGAGGCTGCTTAAATGTCCTTGATCCTTTTGATATTTCCTGGAATACATAGTAGTACTTCAGGGACACATTCCCTTTACTCTGGTGCATGGCTCTTTGTGTTATACTGTAAGTTTAATCCAGATCCTCTTTTTGCTGTAGAAATAAAGACTTTAGTCATTTTATTGAAGCAAGATTGCTAGAATATGTGAACTGAAGTTGGGAATTATAAATCTAATAATACTAGTTCCAAACTTTAATTTGAGGTCAAGTGTCAAATTAAAGTTTGGAATATTCAGGACCACTGGAATTTTAGAAAGATTTAAATTGATAGAATATCTATTTCTAGAGAATTCTGTTTTGGTAGAAACAGATGATATTCTAATTTAGAATTGCATTAGATTTTCTGTGTGGTTGTAAGTCTAATCATCTTTTATTTTCTTGTTCAAATTCAGAAACTATATCTATTGTGTAACTTCCATTTTTTTTAAATGCTCAGTTATCATTAACATATAAAAATTGCTGAAAAACTCTGGAAAAAAAACCCTACTCACCTTGTGTTATCTATTTTTGTATTTATCTTTTAATTTTTAAATATATTTTCCTCTATAATTGTGGTTATATTTAAAGGTGATCTTGAATATAAAGACAAGGTGATCAATTCCTAATTAATTAATAGAAGGTGTTGAAGCCATAGGAACCCTGGGGGCAAGTGATCATGCAATATTGGAATTCAACATTATGCAAACATAAGTAGTAGAACAAAGTGAAACTAGAGTCTTGGACTTTAAGAGAGCTAATTCCAATAAACCTAGAGAGAACTTGGGAAAAATTCCATGGATGAGAATCCTCAAGGGGAAAACAACTCAAGAAACTTGGGAAATTTTGAAAAATGAGATTACAAAAGTCTTGCACAATACCATTGAGAAAGAAAAATAACAGCTCCCAAAAGAAACCAGTATGGCTGCATAAAGAACTCTGACAAATTGAAAGACAAAAAAGTTAAGTATAAAAAGTGGAAAGAGGGGGACATAACTAAGGCAGAATATCAGCTAATAGCCCAAGCCTATAAAGATGAAGTAAGGAAAGCTAAGAAAGAAAGGCTTGCCACAAAAGTAAAAAATAACAAAAAAAGCTTCTTCCAACATGTTAAAACAAGAAAAAAGTTAAGGAAACAATTGGTCCATTGCTGGGAGAAAGTGGCAAGAAGGTGACAAGCAACAGGGAGAAAGCACTTTCTCCCAGCAAGGGACCAATTTAACTCATGTTTTGCACCTGCCTTTACACAAAGGGATAAAACAGTCGAACCTATCAAAAACAGTACCACAAAAGTCAGATTAGGAACACAAGTTGAAATAGGGAAGAAAATGGTAAGTGAGCACCTGTTTACCCTAGACGAGTTCAAACCCCTAGGACTGGACGGATTACACCCCAGGGTTCTGAAGGAACTAGCAGACGAGAGCTCAGAACCACTGAACTATATCTTTCAGAGATCCTGGAGCACAGGGGAACTATCAGAGGACTGGAAAAGAGCTGATGTGGTTCCCATCTTCAAAAAAGGGGAAAAAAACAGATCCAGGAAACTACAGACCTATCAGCCTGACCTCAATACCAGGAAAGATTCTGGAAAAAATAATCAAGCAACGAATTAGCGAACACCTAGAAGCAAACAAAGTAATAGCCAAAAGTCAACATGGGTTTGTCAAAAACAGATCATGGCAGACTAATCTTATTGCATTCTTTGATAATGTGACAAAATTAGTGGACCAGAGGAATGCCGTCGATATAATTTACTTGGACTTCAGTAAGGCATTTGATAACCTACTACTAGATAAAGTAGAAGAATGTGGGTTAGACAGCATTACCACCATCTGGATTTGTAACTGGCTGACCAACGGCACTCAATGTGTAGTCCTCAATGGAACTGCATCTTCATGGAGGGAAGTATGCACTGGAGTACCCAAGGCTCTGTTTTGGGCCCAGTATTCTTCAACATCTTCATCAATGATTTGGATGAGGGAATAAATGGGGAACTCATCAAATTTGCAGATGACACCAAGCTGGCAGGATTAGCCAACACTCCAGAAAATAGGCTAAAGATACAGAAGGATCTTGACAAACTTGAACATTGGGCACTATCTAATAACATGAAATTCAATGGTGAAAAGAGTAAGGTTCTATATTTAGGCAAGAAAAATGAAATGCACAGGTATAGTATAGGTGGTACCTTGCTTAACAGTAGTAACTGTGAAAGGGATCTTGGAGTCCTAATGGACAACCATTTAAATATGAGACAGCAGTGTGCAGCAACTGCCAAAAAAGCCAACACAGTTCTAGGCTGCATAAATAGAGGGATAGAATCAAGATCACGTGAAGTGTTAATACCACTTATAATGCCTTGGTAAGGCCATACTTGGAATACTGCATTCAGTTTTGGTCACCACGATGTAGAAAAGATGTGGAGACTCTAGAAAGAGTGCAGAGAAGAGCAACTAAGATGATTAGGGGACTAAAACATATGAAGAACTGTTGCAGGAACTGGGTATGTCTAGTCTAGAAAGAAGGACTAGGGGAAACATGATAGCAGTGTTCCAATATCTCAGGGGTTGCCACAAAGAGGGAGTCAAACTATTTTCTAAGGCACCTGAGGGTAGAACAAGAAGCAATGGGTAGAAACTAATCAAAGAGAGAAGCAACTTAAAACTGACGAGAAATTTTCTGACAGTACAATTAATCAGTGGAACAGCTTGCCTCCAGAAGTTGTGAATACCCCAACACTGGAAGTCTTTAAGAAGATGTTGGATAACCATTTGTCTGAAATGGTGTAGGGTTTCCTGTCTAGGCAGGGGGTTGGACTAGAAGACCTCCAAGGTCCCTTCCAACTCTGCTATTGTATTGTAATTCACAGAAATAGGGTATTTTCCATAATGAAATGTGCCATATATATCAAGAGTTAAATAAATGAACGACTAAATACACAGATTTTAAATGATGTAATGCATAATTTTAAAAAGTATAAAATATGTTCAAAAAAAGCAAATAAACTGTAGAAAGTATGAATTATTCAGGCTAAGAAGGGGAATGAATGTGGAAAAGTAAATTTAAGTATCAAGACCCAAATTTTGTTAGCAACATAAAGATATGCAGTGTGTTATACAAATGATGGTTTTAAGTAGCTAAGAAATTGGGAAAACTCTAAAACAGAATGCTCACTAATTGTTTTTTGCTAGCTGGAAAGCACTAGTACAGATATGGCTCAGAACTACTGTATATTAAAAAGAAAATCTGTAGTAAAAATTTCCGAAAACAAACCATTCTTACCTTAGACCCAATTAGTATGTACAGCCACTGGATGGTTTCATTGTGATTTATTACTCCATTCATCCCATCAACATACAGCATAATTTGTCCCAGTGCTAAGGAAATAAAAAAGATTTTTTATTTAGCTATTTGCTGTTACAAGCAAAAATCATACAATTACCAAATGTAAATTAAAAGGGGTCACTGAGTTGATCAAGAGCCAAACTTTGATCAGACTGAAATTGAAGTTTTTCCACAACCTAAATACAATTTCTCCTGTTGGCACATAGTAGCCCTTTATATACAAGCATTCATTTAATGACCATATGAATGTACAATGGCACTGAAAAATGTGACTTATGACTGTTTTTCACACTAACAACCATTGCAGCATCACCATGGTGACCTGATTAAAATTTGGACACTTGGTAACTGGCATGTATTTATGACGATTAGTGTCCTGGGGTTATGTGATTAACTTTCAGACATGCAGTGTTGGTTTCCCACCCAAGTGAGGCCATCACAAAAAGTAAAGTTTAATTGCTGGTGGGTAAAGCAACCATTCCTGATTAAGTTCATTTTCAGAGCATGTACAAGATCATCGCCTACTTTAGGCACCATTTTGGTCAGTGATCTTGAGGATCTGGAACTTGGAAAAGACATCTGCCAAGAAATTCTTCTCCTGGATAAATAGCATAGGATGAAATTGAAATGGTTGAAATACTATGTCCATTGGAGTTATTTTGGAGATTATTTTGGAACGTTCAATGTGTTTTTAACACTTCTATGTTTTTATGGTTCATGCACACTGCAAAAGGGGTTTTGCTACCTTCCAAAAAAAATGCCTCTAGGTGCAGAAGTATCCACTGCACTGGATAGGCCTCCTTTTCCCAAACTGCCCAGCTGCACTTTGCATTTGAGAGCTTTTGGGAGGTGTAGCACAAGTCTGCAGGGTTACTTAATAAAGAACTGAAGGAGAACAGTCCCCCTACTACATCACTGTCATCTGCCTGGATAACAAAAGATGTGTTGGGGTCCGGGTGCTTAAGAATAGGTTCAGCAGTGTTTAAGTTTTGTTAAATTTGAATAAGCGTTTAAGTTTCTCAAAAGTTGTTTGGGATTCCATGGACCATTTAAGTGGTTGACTTAGTTTAGGTTTCCCCTCCCCATTGATTTTCAGTAGATTGGTGATCAGGAGGGCTATTGGGCGAAAAACAGAATAAATTGTTGGTAAAAGTTAGCTAAGCCGAGCAGCTCTGCAGTTGGTTCTAGATGCATGGGGTTTCCCATTTTATTAAGGCTCTTGTTCTCAAGTAAATAAAGTAAAAGGTAAAGGTTTTCCTCGCACATACGTGCTAGTCGTTCCCAACTCTAGGGGATGGTGCTCATCTCTGTTTCAAAGCTGAAGAGCAAGCACTGTCCAAAGACATATCTGTGGTCATACGGCTGGCATGACTAAACTCTGAAGGCACATGGAACGCTGTTACCTTCCCATCGAAGGTGGTCCCTATTTTTCTATTACATTTTTTGCGTGCTTTCGAACTGCTAGATTGGCAGAAGCTGGTAAAAGTAATGGGAGCTCACTCTGTTACATAGTGCTAGGGATTTGAACTGCCGACCTGCCAACCTTTCTGATTGACAAGCTCAGCATCTTAGCCACTGAGCCACCGCATCTCTCATGTGAAATATGGTAGCCGAAATAGTCTATTTTGGTTTATGGAACTCACACTTTGAAAGTTTCATGTAGTTGTGTGGCACTTAGTTTTTCCAGTACTGCTCTAACTAGTTTCACATGTTCTTTGCGAGTCTCCATATGAATCAAAATTAAATCTAAGTAGACTAGAACTGCCTTGTACAAATGTTCATGCAAAACTTCATTAATCTGTTGCATCAACATGGCTGTCATGGCTCCATCAGATACGAGTGAGGAGGAGGAATTAGAACCAGGACTGTCTGACAAGGATGGCACATATCTCTTGGAATGTTTGGAGAGGCCAGGGGCTAAAATGATGCTGTACCAGGCCCCTCAGGCATTGGGGGAGAGGACAATACTGTCCTAGACCCCTTAGGCAACCAGATGGAGAGCTGCCTGCCCTCACAGACACAGGGGAGGATCAGCTGCAGACTGACAATGGTGCTGATTGGCAGCAGGTCCTCTCTATGAGAAACAACTGCCTCCCCCATTCAATTCAAGAGCACAGAGAGTAGAGTGGAGGTAAGCTCAAAAGAGATCTGTGAGGCTGCTTGGGAGAAGTTTGCCCCACTCTGCTTCACAAGGAACACGTGACTTAAGCACAAGCAGGGTGAGTTTGTCTTTGTCGGGAACAATCGTTTGCTTTGGCGTACACCACCCCCTAGCTTTGGAAAAATTCAGCCTTGAGTCACGTTTCTCTGTCTTGCAGTCTGCCTTGAGGATTTGCTTTACCTTATGGACTTTGCCTTTGTGCACGTGACTTACTCTGTGCACCTATCTTTGCCCTTGACTCTGGATCTTGCCTCATGAGTTTGCATCTTCTCTTTGGACTTCTTCTCTGCCTTTGTGAATGGTTTTGTTGTTTATTGGCTTTTGTTTGTGGGACTGAGGATCGCTGCCTTCAGGGAAGTGTGGGGTGCAACTTTACCAGCCATTGTAGGGCCATTTGTTGTGGCATTTAGCAGAGCAATGCTTGCTTCTGCCTAGACGATCTTAATCATAACAATGGCAGGAGCACCCAACAGTCCAAATGGGAGGACTCAGAATTGAAAACATCCAAGGGGACAATTAAATGCAGTTCATCATTTATCCCTCCTCTTTGATATGCATGCAGTAATAAGCTTCTCTCAAATATAGCTTGGTAAATATTTCCACTCTGCACTAGATAAGCTAACATGTCCTTCATTAGTAGCAGCAGATACACGTTTTTCATGCAGATTGCATTGAGCCCACGATAGTCCGCACATAAAAGCAGGGAGCTGTCTTTCTTTTCCCATAACAGCACAGAGCTGCCAAATGCGACTTTGAGGGTTGAATAAAACTCCTGGCTAAGTTCTTATCTATGAACACTCTCAGTTCTTCTAGTTCTTCTTGATGTCATGGAGTAGCGCTTTGGTTTGGGTAATTTGGCCCCAGGTAGAATATCAATGTGTAGTCTATGGGCTGTTGGGGTGGAAGCACATGCGAGTCCTGTCACTAAAGACTTCTTGCAGGTGACCCTGACAACACAGATAAACCTCCAGGACACACTAAAAGAACGCAAATGATCAGATGTCTGCAAGGAATATAAATCCTTCCATTCCCCACCATCTCGACAAAGATGAGAAGTGAAATGTCTTCAAAGAAAAACATGAAAGGCAAGTCCACATATCTTTAGTGCAGAGGTGGGTTCCTACCAGTTAGCACCTATTCGGTAGAACCGGTTTGTCAAATCTACCGAGCCGGTTAGAAGAGGTTCCACCAATGGACCCGGAAAGCAGGCCACACCTACAGAACAGGTTCCAAATTTTTTTTTAAACCCACCACTGATCCTTGGATATGATTATTCTACACTATCATGCTCATATTTATAAAACTCAGTGCCTCTGTAAAAGGTAAGGATGACTACTGGTGCAATCAGAACATTGCGTGTGTTGAAGTTGTTTTAACGCAAACCAAAGATGCCTTTTAAAAAACAAGTTTACATCATATTCTTATGCATGCCACTGCTGTGTGTGAGGTAATTTAAGGTGGTTCTGACAAGTGTTGTCGGCATCTTCATATCCGGTCACATGGGTGGCAAGCCACTCCCACAAAGGAGGCCACACCCACAGAGTAGGTTCGAACAATTTTTGAAACCCACCACTGGTTTAGTTGTTAAAATATTTGGCTAGAAACTGGGAGATTGTGAATTCTAGTAATGCCTTGCACAAGGCCAGCTGGGTGACTTTAGACCAGTCATGTTTGCTTCAAGTTTCTTCTTCGAAGAAGGCAAAGGCAAACTACTTTCAAAAATCCAGGAAAATTACAGAAAACTACAGAAACTGGTCCAGGCAGCTGCTAGGAGACAAAACTTACTCAAATGTGCACACACAAACACACACACAAACACAAAGGTATGCATACTGGGCGCAATGAAAAAAATTATACAGATAAAGCATTTTTCTAAGGAATAGAAAAATATGAGGAAAATTAAAGGGATAAAAGCCATTCTGAGAAATCAGAGATGAAATTCTTTTGAAGAAAAAATTGGAAATTATCAGAATAAATTGTCGGGAAAAGACAAGAGAAAAATATAAAGGATAACTATTATTCTAAAAATAGTAGCAATGGCATATTGAACTGGCTACAATTATAGTTTACAATGAAACTAAACAGATAAGAGAGCAATAGAAGATGAGTTGTTATGTGAAACATACATAGCTAGTATGATTAAGTTTCTGTACCTCTCAAGATGTAATTCTGGTAGTTCTGGTCTGCCTCAGCTCCCACTTTTATTAAACAAGCCAGGCCTTCTGCTACAACAAATTCATGAACCAAATCCTTGTCATCCTGTGAGGGAGAGGACAAGGGGAAAAAAGACAAATGATGCATTTTGTAACATGCTGAAAATAAAGTAGCAGTGGTTTTCTCCATTCAGTCGTGTCCAACTCTTGGTGACTTTATAGGCAAGTGCTCTTCACGCTTTCTTACCAAACACAGCTTCTTTCAGTTGTTTGTATCAGCTTTGATGGTATCAAGCCAGCATGTTCTTTGCTTGCTCCTTTTTCTTGTTTTACTAAGCACATACAGCCTGCCCCCCTTTAGTAACTGTTTGTGGCTATGGCAGTGATGAAAAAGCAATTTTACAACCAATCCCTGCATTTATAACTTTTTCAGTTCCGTAAAGCAAAGAAAAGCAGGTGTAGGATCATAAGCACAGTTGTGGTTTATTTAACAGATTGCTTCATTTAACAACTGTTGGTACCAATTATGGTTATTAAATGAAGACTAATTTTTGGATTAAAAAACTGTTCTATATTGATATAACCACTCTTCAAAAAACCATTCACCCACAAACAAGGATGAAAAAGATTTTTGGCGTCCAAGAATGTTTTAGAAGATGTATCATAATCTAAATGGCATCAATTGTGTCCCTTTCATTCTTCCTTTCCCTAACTACAAATGCTGTAGATCAACAATCCCCCCAACCTTTTTGGCACTAGGGACTGATTTTTGTGGAAGACATTTTTTCCACAGACCAAGGGGGAAGGGAGGAGGAGCATGCAACCTACATCCCTCACACACACAGTTTACAGTACGGTTCACGCTCCTGCAAGAATATACAGCCTGATGAGGTGAGCCGAGAGGGTAATGCTGGGGAGCAGCTGCAAATATAGATGAAGTTTTGATTGCTCACTCGCATGCTGTTCATCTCCGGTTGTGTGCCCTGGTTCCTAGCAGGTCATGGACCAACACCAGTCCATGGCCCAGGGCCTCCTGCTTTAGACAAAATGAAAAAGCTTTATCATTTTTCTCCTTATCCGCATCCTCAGGCATAGATTTTTACTCACTCTGCTCTCCTTCATATGATTTTTCTTCCTAGAATTTGGTAAAAACTAAACCACCTTCTGCATCACTTAGACTGATTTTCCAGTCTAAATCTTCCTACCCATAATGACAACTAAACATATATTAAAAATAATTTAAATAAATTTTGTAGATTGAGGGACTGGCAAAGAGTAATTGCAAATCTCCTTTCTATTTTTCACAGTAACTTTATTTCCAATTTCCAATTATTTGAGAAGTTTGAGAAGTTTATTTATATGCCGCCCTTTTCCCTGGGGGGACTCAGTCTCTTGCTCTACTTTCCATACCATAAAACACAAAAGCAAGCTACCGTATTTTTCAGAGTATAAGATGCACCTTTTTTCCCTAAAAAAGAGGGTGAAAATCTGGGTATGTCTTATACTCTGAATGTAGCTCTACCCACACGCTCCATGCATCGCATTTTCAGATTGTTCCAGGCCGGGGGGGGGGGGGGAGGAAATCCTCACTTCCACATGGAGCCTGATTCCCATGGAATTGTGTTCAAAGCCTTTTCAACAAAAGCATTTTTGGGTGGCAGCACCACAATCCCCTATCCGATTCCAAAAAGAGCACTGCGGAGGCAGATTGTATCCCTGCAGCTTAGAACCGCTTGTTACCTGAAATGCTCTTCTTCCTCCCAGGACACTAGGTTGGGAAGTTAAAAACCTGGAATGGGATACAATTAAGCTCCTGAGATCACTTTGCCAAAAATGCTGTTATCGCAATCTCTGCCACCTGGAACTGCCCGAGAAGGGGCAGGTTGAAGTGGGCTCTGCAGAGATCACTGTAACAGCATTTTTGGGTGGCAGCGCAGCAATCCAAAGCCAAAGCCTTTGAATCAAGCTTGATTGTACCCCATTTCAGGTTTTTAACTTCCCAATCTAGAGTCCTGAGAAATTTAGGGCCTCTGAGGCACCTCTCATTTGCAGGAGGAGGAGGGCAGCATATACAAAAGCCTCTGAGTAACTGGGAAAGAAAGCCGTGCTTGGAACTGCTGAAAACCACTGCCCGAAAAGCCCTTTTTCTCCTTCCTCCTTTCCTAACATTTTAAAAGCCTGATCACCTTCCCAAGGGCACTACAATCCTCACAAAAGTTGGGGAAGGGAGAAACAAAGGGGACAAGAGACCTTGCAGAGACAAGTGATTCCCTATGAATCCAGAGAAAGGGACCCCTTAAGGAGGAAAACAGCCACCTTCTTCCCCTCGGATTTGCACCCTCTGGTTCCTCGGCAACCCTGCTACCAAGCTTCTACTGGCTGAAACTCAGCATTTGTTTTGGTTTTTTACATCTCACTTTCACGTGTTTCTGCCGTACTTCCTCAGGACTCCAGCTTACAGAATGAGGCAGGCGGAAGAAAAGCAAAGATAAGAAGCCATGAGCTAAGATCACAGGCACGTTGGGGAAAGGGGGGGAAAGAGGAAGGGGGTTGGGAGAGAGGAAACACCAAGCTTATATCCTTGCCACTGCCAAGGAGCTTGCACGCCACCTCACAAGATCACCTGATTTAAGTTTTATGACACAAAAGTTTAGCTCATGTAGAGGAGAGAGGATTTAAGGAGAGGAGAAAATGGTTGTGGGAGGCAATGTTAACCAACGCATTGTTATTGTAAATGCCTTTGTACGGAAGGGCCTGGGTCCCCAAGGCAGGTGTCCCTCCAAGAGGGCTTCAGTGATCCCAAGTGCCACCAGTGCTGGGCCAACTTCTTCAAGCAGCCAAGTCCGTCTTGTCCCCGTGAAAATCATCCCCCACCCCAAACACTTCAATTAAATCCACGTAGGGTGATAGGGTTTGTTGTAAATGGCTAAAAAAAAAATCTGTACTGCTCATTATCAAAATCTGAGTGGAAGTGAGGATCTCCATCACCTGGAACCACCAGAAAATGTGAGGCACACAGGCAGTGATGGTCTGTGGCAATCCCTACAACCTAGAACAGCTGGTTGTGGGTATTCCACCCTTCAATCAGCTGCTCCTCCTGAATCAGGTTGCTGAACCTTGCTAGGCCATTTGCTGTTTGCTGCAAGGACACTAGCCAGATTACTACCAATGAATGCTGGTAGGCAGAAGCAGAAACTTTTTTTCCTGTTTTCCTACCCAAAAATTAGGGTGCATCTTATTATACTCCAAAAATATGGTAATTTCTTTTCTCATTTTCAGATTGATTAAAATGTAGAAAGTGACAGCTACGTAATGAAGAAATATTGTGAGAAAGAACTGCACCATTTTAGTTTGGAACTCTTGTATCTGGCAACAAATTGCAACAAAATGGAAGCAGGGAGATAAAAGAAAACCATCTAAATTTTTGCATTTCAAATATAGCAGTTTTGGTAAATATATTCTGATTTTAAGAACGAAAGTAAAGGTTCCCCCTATCAAGTAGTTTCCAACTCTAGAGGTTGGTGCTCTTAGCTGAGGGACCCAGCTTTGTCTGAAGACAAAACATGATTATATGCTGAGGTGCACAGATAATTGTTACCTTCCCACCAAAGTGACATCTATTTAATCTACTTGCATTTCCATGCTTTCGAATTGCTAGCTGGGGAGGAATGTGGCAAGTAATGAGAGCTCACCCTGTCATGTAGCACTCAGGTCTTTAACAGCTGAGACATCATGTTAGGAATATAATCTAACGGTTGGGTTGCCAATATATAAATCATGTGACAATGTTGCACCTGTTTCTTTAAACCATACTGTAAAATGTGATTAGTTGCTGTTTTCCTCAAGCGGCCGTAAGAGGGAGCCAGAATGACTGTTAGCTCTCTGTTTCATTAGATGCTGGGCTGATCTGATCTGAGTGTTTTGGAAGCTGGCTGTTAGAAAGTCCCATGAGCTATTGTAAATTTTGTAACTGTTAGCAAACTTTGAGTACTGAACTGATTATATGTTACTGGACTATGTTATTTGGATTATCCCTTAACTGAAAGACATTGATGACTGACTGTCTTATCCGTGTACGACTTGGACTGTTTGATGGACTCTGATACCTCTATTTCCACAAAAGTAAAAGTCTATTTAATCTGCAGTGTCTCTGTATGCTGGTTTGTGTGTTCTCCAACACAACTCTCACAATGCTTTGCTGAACGTACTCACTCTCTCAACGGGGCGCTTACCTAACACATCACATGTTTTTAAGATTTTAAGAATACAAACTTGTTTTCACTTTTGGATTTTGAAAAATTCACATTGTCTCTTCTATTTCTTTATTAAATTTATATAATCACTTATCTCACATATATGACTTAAATAATACACAATAAAACAATAAAAAGTATGATAAAAATTAAACAATTTAAATGGATAAAAAAGACTATGGGAGAATGGATTAGCAATCTATACTTGCGTCCCCAAGCCTGTTAAAAGAACCAAACTTTGAGGATTGTCTTAAAAGCATTGAAATCATGGCATAAGGAGGAATTATGTTCCAGAACACAAGCGCCCCAGCAGAAAAAGATTGCTTCCTGGGTATCTTCAGACAGAATGTTTAAGCAGCTAGTGCCTATTACATGCCATTTCTGCTACATCTAATGAGGCAAGTACATGTAATCAGAAAGAAGCCGGAATTTCATAGCAGCGAGTATAGGGATCTGTTCTTTCAAAGTGCTTATAACTTTTGTTTGTGTGTAGCATTTCTCCCAAAGGGATTGCTAGCTATTGGACCTTTCTATTCCTTCCCCAGATGACCAACACATTAGCTCTGGAATACCAACACAGTGAAGACACTTTAGCTTTGATTAGAAATAATATTCATTAAAACAAAATCAACAATAAACACCAAATGCAATAGACATTTAAACAATAACACAGCAGCACATTAAAATAGTGGTCCTTAAAATCAGATTAAACTACATAATAATATAAAACATTAATCCTTATGATTAAGAATGTTGCTCCAGCTGTGTCCCAAGACTATCCTTTTTATGCCACGTAGTCCCTCACCAATCCTGTTGTCTCCTAAACACATCATCTGCAGGCCCAATTAAAGGC